AAGGAAATCAGTACAGGGCTCCCACCTCCCTCTTCCCAGAGCCTGCAGTCCCAAAAGTCCAGAAAACACCAAGAGATCTGGGCAAGTGCTTCACGGAGGGACCTCAGAGTGACTTTGAACTGACATAGGAATGTCCCAGTGGGCTTGCGGGAAAACCCGGGCTTGTCCCAAGGGAGTTTTCCCTGGCTTAACACGGAAGTGAGACTGCCCTGCAGACTTTCTGGGGTTGTCCTATTGAGGGGCTGCTATGCTGCCTTTGCTCACACTGATCACCAGCGCAGGTACGGTAAAGGACAAGCTGAGAACGCCCATGATTCTGCTGCTGTCACCTGGGGGCAGAATCTGGGCCAGCTGCTGATGTAGCAGGCCGTGCTGAGCCAGGCGTGGTCCCCTCCGGTTTCCCTTTCTCCGCTTCACTACAGGACTCCAGGCGGCCATCCTCTTCTAGGCTGGGGGATTGAGACTGAACTTTCCAGAAGGCCCATGAGGGGCATTTACCGTGCTCCTGATACCTTTCTGTGGAGCTGGCAGTGCCCCTGCCTAGGACATCTTTGGGCACAGAAATGAGTGTGTTGCCATGGCAGTGACCAGTGGCACTTCTGGTGTGACCATGTGGGGTTTTGTACTGTCAAGCCCCCATGGGTGAAGATCCTGGAAGTCCCAGAGCGGTTCTTCCCTGCATGTTTCATCCCACGGGGACCCAAGGGGGTCCAGGAGAGCTTGCCTGAGGGGGCAAGCAGAGGACTGGGTTTCACAGAGTCGAACTGGTCAGGCAGGGCCATTCAGGGAGAGCTGGTCACAATGCACATGGCTGTCTGGGGATGTGCCTTCCTGCCTAGGTCCCCACGTGTACCGGGTGTGTTGGGAATCATCCAGTGTCCAAAGAACAGACACGCATCCTTTGCAAGTGGACTCACTGAGGTTCACAATAAGGCAAGAAGGTGACCTGATTCCCATGACACTAGGAACTCCCAAACATGTCCTGCCACTTCTCGAGAATCCCACACTCTGTCCCCAATGCCCTCAGAGTGCCTAGTGACTCTCAAGTGGCCTTGTGTTGCCAGGAGGGACTCCGCCCCTTGCCCTTTGAGGCCCAGGGTTACATTTCTCCCCGCTCCCAGCTCATGTTGGCTTGGCTTGGCCAGGAGCCCTCGAGTTTTCGTTCGTTACTGACCAAGATGGGTTTTCTCAGCCTTCTTGAGCCTTGCCACTCATGGTCTTAACATCTCTGATATTAGAGGGACCTCATCGTGCAACACCAAGACCTGTTTAGCATTGGCTGAACATTTTTTAATGTGTTCTCCTCCCTGCTGGGCCACTCTGGGATTAACAACGTGTAAAGCACAGGCTGTGTCCTCACAGTGCCCCAGAGACTCCCCAGCAGCTCGGGAAGGAAGAGACGCTGGTTCATTAAGCAGCTGTTTGCAGATCCTTTGTTGTATCTTTGTTCAGTGTCAGCCCAGCTGCTTGCTGCGAGCTGGGTTTACGATGTCCCTGGAACCCTATGCACATGGATGATCACGGAGATGCAGTTTCAGACAGCTTGGGTTTGAGGCTGGTGGCCACACTAGAGTCTGCTCCGCAACTGCTATTTAACCCCAGGTGGTCTTCACTCCTTATTTTATTTTCCAGAATTCCTGGAGCAGGCAGGTGGGACAGGAGGCAGCCGTGCCAGCCAGGCTGCCAGCTGGTGGCATGACCTGGGGCCCCACCCTCTGCAGGAGACTTTCCCTGGGAGGAAATTCTCCCTCCTATAGTCCCCACAGCTGCCCGTGTGAGCGGAAGTCATTAGATTTGGGGATAAGTGGTTGTGAGTGTATACTGGATTAGAGAATGGTGTCTAGTTGACTGCCCACTTCATACCACCAAGCTCAACCAATCCTAGAAAAGGTTGGATTTTTGCACTCAGGGGACATGTGCAGCAGGCACTTGTAGGTGTCACGGCTTCAGGGGTTGGTTAGCCAGGGCCAGGGATACATCTGAACATCGTAAGCTGCTCAAGGGTCTAAATGTCATAGTGCTAAAACATGTTGGTGGGTCAGTTTCCTTCCTGATCCTGGAGAGTCAGGCCCTACAGGGACAGACAGATGTGCCACTCGGCTGTAGAGAGGGCCTGAGGGCCACATACAAGTCTTGAGACTGAGGTCCTGGGAGCAGTAGTGGCTTTATCCCCAGACCCGTCACCTGGCGAATTCTCCATGTTGCAGCTGCTTTTGTCCTTACTAATGTCCTTTAGGAAGAAACTAAGACCATGAACCTTGTAGACTGCCTATGGCACTCAGCTGCTGGCTAAGAGCAGTTTTGGAGGTGCACCGCACAGTGGGTGGGGTTGGGAAGGAGGTCAAGGACCCACAGATTAGCCATACCTGTATGTAGCCTTGGCTATATCCAAGTTTCCTGTTTTGGCTTTTAAATCTGTTTTTCTACACTGAATGTCCTAAAAAGACGATCGTTGTACAGAAGCTTATGGGGGAAAAATAAACATATGGAATTTTTTTTTTTTTTTTTGCTGGGCTGCCAAAGCCATTTAGGGACTGGGCCCCCGTTGGTCCTGTCAGGGGAGCGAGTATAGAACGGCAGCGCTGTAGGCCCCAGCAGTTGATGAATATATGAAACAGAGGTAGCCTGTTGTAGCCCAGGTGTCTGTAGTCCTGGTTACTGCCCAGTCTTGGTTACTGAGAAACAGTGACCTGGAGAGAACAGGTGTTTCCACACTTACAGCATTCTGTCCCCAAGCATGCCCCGCAGTCTGCTGGGACATGTGGTCTCTCCACACCAGTTTCTGAGTCTTCACGAGAATGCCTCAGCCTCTGCATGGTTAGAGTCGCAGGTCATCTTGGCTGTGGGGGCTGTCCCGTGCGCCGTAGGATCTTCAGCGGTGTCCCTGGCCTCAACCCACCAAGATGAATCCCAGTAGCACTCCATTCATAACAATCAAAAGGGTCTTGAAGCACGTAGAAGGGCCTCTTGGAGACACAGCACACTATCGGAGATTACACTCAAGTGTCCTTCACTCTTGGGTTTCCATCAGGCCTATAGCTGGTTGGAGGCCTGTCAAGAGAGGGTTCTAAGGCTCCAAAGGCCAGATAGGCAAGTGCTTGAAGTGTCAGGAGACTGCCATCTTTCATCCCTTCTCATCCTGTGGGGAAAGGAGAAAGGGTGTGAGGTGGGCGAATCAGCCAGTTCAGTGAGGGAGCCCGAGGCTGCGCTTGATCTCTTGTAGTTTCTCAAGGAGGACAGAGCTGGCGGAACCTGGCATCACGTTCTAGAAGCCGAGGAGGGCTGACCAAACTGAGCTAGATGACAGAGTGTGATGGATGCATTTGTAACCGCAGAGGAAGCTTGCAGGGTTAGTGACCAACCGAGGGGAATCGAAGTAACCGCTGTTGGCCGAAGACTAGACACACAAGGCAGGGGCACTCGCTACCCGATGGGTGGGGCTCACAGGCGGGGCCCAAGAGGGCTGTCCGAACCATCGTGTGGGAAAGCTAAAGACCTCTGCTTCACCCTGAGCCCTGTGTTGAGCAGAGTCATGTTCAGGATCCCTGTGAACTGTGAAATCCTCCGCTCTCAGCATGGGAGGTGGCGTTGCCAGAGCCCAGGGCTTTTGGAAGATCTCTCAAGGCTGTGTAGGCGAGGTGTCCCACGGCTAAGGTCTCGGGACTATGAACATGCTGAATTAGCAAGACTCTCAGACCATAGCTTTTCCTGCCCCGCCGCCTAGGACGGAGCTGGCAGAAGCCCAGGAATGTTCGCAGATATAAAACTGACTTTGTTTTTGAAATGTTCTGGATCCCAGACCCCAAAAGGCTGCATAAAGACATTCTTGTGAGGTGGTTATCTGCTGGGGAGAGTCACGTTGGGGCCCCAGACCAGCACACCCGTCCACCCACGGCATGCCATGTTTTTGGCTTGCAGGCCTGGCCTGTAGATGAGGGGTCACAGGATTCCTGTGGGCTCGGGCAGCTGGTTCTCAGGAATTTTTTTTGAAACTTTAGCTCCTTTTGCTGCAATATCTACAGGGCCTTGAGCAGCCGGGGTGCTGACCCGTACTCTGCCTGTAGGTAGTTAGAAGGCCGTATCCTGGGCCTGTCTCTTGGCTTGTCTCCTTCACCGCAGACCTCCGCGAACCACCCGTGACACTTCTGTTTCCCAGCATCCCTTGAGCCTCATCTGCGGCTGCTCTCTGTGGGTATCTACTTTCCAACTTGACTGTGGCTCTAGAAGTACACGTGTTCATCTCCCAGGTCTGTGGGTATCATTGCTGTCTTCTCTCCACAGGAGCCCGTTAGGACAGCACCCCCAGCTCCCTGTCTGTTTCTGTAGCCTTTATTTCTTGATTTCTTGGCCCGTGGGAGCGTATGCGTCCCAGCGCCAGACAAGGAGTCACCCGTGGCCGCTCCTGCTTGCCCTCTTGGGGTCTGGCTCAGGAAGTGCCACTCGTGTTAGATTCCTCTTTCTGCGTCCTACTGAGGGCTCAGTGCCTGTCAAACCCATGGCCTGGGTTTGTCCCTGTGTCCTGTTCTTCTGCTATGGTCAGGCAACCTGGAGTCCTGCCCAGGAGTGTATTTTAGCACCTGGACATGGTGACTCCCAGGGGGACTTTTGGTCTCTTGGTTGTCCCTCTGAGGATGTCTGGCTTTGGTATCAGTAAAGGGGTCTCCTTTTAGAGGAAGTGTCGGCATGAGATTGAATTAGGGTTAGATGGGGCACCGGCCTTTGGTTCTCCACCCACCTGCTTCGGTGTAGCCGTGACGATGAGTCTGTTTCCGCTTTCAGAAATCTACCCAGTTCCGCTCGGAAGCCTGGGAAAGGCTTCAGGGATGAGGGCTTCCTTGTAGCCCACTGCACGGGCATGGCTGTGGGTGGGAGGAGCTGGAGGACAGCGGGGAGGCCTGGCGCGGCGTTTCTAAATGTGTTCCATTCGGCTATTAGCCTCTTTCAAGAAAGTCTTCTCATCCAGCAAGTGCTGACCTCCTGACCTTTTTTCCCCCTGGTAGGTCTGAGATAGCAGGGACATGTCCCGGGAGCTACAGGACGTGGACCTCGCAGAGGTGAAGCCTCTGGTGGAAAAAGGGGAGGTGAGTCCGTCATGTGCTTATAATGGGCGCGCGCGCGCGCACACACACACACACATGTATAGGTATGTGGCATGCACACTAACGGTTATGAACACATTTGTACATAAGATGCACACATGTGAACAAGAGCATAGCATAGCATATCATATAAGCAAATGTATAGAATACATACATATACACACACACATGCACTCACGCACGCATGCACTGCATATACACACACACATATACACACACACATGCATACACGCACTGCACAGGCATTGGTCCCCTTTGTTTCTGTCATCTGTATTTAGTGACTCTTGACGTCCTTGTATATTGCTCAGTCACGGCCCCTGCAGCCGTCCGTCCGTCCGTCCATCGTTATTGCTGGTTTGCAGTTTCCCAGCCCCCGTGGTCCTCTGCACCCTGCTTTCTTCCCCTGGCCTCTTGGGCATTTGGCTCTGCTGAACCATCTTCTGTCCCAGAGGCTCATGGCTCCGCTGGCGCCTGACGTTCTATGTTTGCATTTAGTCTCTAAAATCTGGGCAGAAAATAGCTAGTAGCAATCCTTAACTGATGCTGACAGGGCCAGCGAGACTCCAGATCCTCCCTGAACCACACTCACTGTCCCGGCTTCAGTGGAGTCAAGACCTTTTCCTACCTTCCCGGGCCCTTCCTGTCACGGAAAGCTGTTTGTGCTGAAATTGAGGAAAAAGCTTCGAGATTTCCATTATCCTCTTCTTCCCCCAGCAAAAGACTGGATTTAAATGCAGAACGCAGACTCGGAAGCGGCGTGGTCCCGTTGGAGTTTCAGGAGTACAGCCAGTGGGTGTGTGTATTGACTGCATAGCCACTTGTAGTGTCCGTCACCCGGGTTTGCTCCCTGCTGCTTCCTCCAGATCTTTTGGCCAGCTGTCCTCAGAAAAGAATCTAGCACATGGACCGGTTTACCTGAGATGAAACAGTTTCCCTGGCAAGTTTAAGGAAAGCCCACTGAATAGGGATTAGATCCAGGCAAAAGAGAGGACCGTGAGTACCAATGTTTGTCTTCTCTAACCAAGGGAACTAACCATGACTCTGTCGTCTCTCCACAGACCATCACTGGCCTCCTACAAGAGTTCGATGTTCAGGCAAGTAGAGAGCGGGTCCTCTTTTTTTTTTTAATCCACCTGTCCACCTATTCCTTTGCTTCTTTCCATCGGCCTGGAGCGGATTGCTGTCTAGATGTGGTGTCAGAGGGAAGGGAGGGGCCTCAGCCCTATTCCCACACTTAGTAGCCTCCTCCGGAAGAAGCTAGCCCGAGTCCCAGCCAGGCAGGCGGGAACTGACCAGCCCCCAGGAGGGCAGACAGACATACAGCCCTGTGGCCCTGGAAACTGGCACGTGTGTGGGAAGTTACAGAGGTCCACGGGACCCTGCGGGATGGGGATGGGCTAATCTTGACGGTGTTAGGAAATCTGTCCTTTTTGCCCAAAAGTTGGAGTATGTAGCTCACTCAGAGCCAGCTGGAGGCCAGTCAGGGCGTGTTTCCAGCTTTGTAGAGAGTGGAGAAACCCTGCTCTGTCCAGTGCCCGGTGCCATCATGCCCAATCCTGAACACCACGGAGGGAGGGATAGGCACACGCCGGGTAGTCTGCAGGTGCGCTCACCTAGGCTTCCACAGTTTTCAGCCCCACATCTCGGCTTCGGCCAATTCCTGCAGAGGAGCCAACCGTAACATCTTCCAGGTCTCCTTCTGTGATCCACTCATCCTTCCACACAGAGGTGGGGATTCTGGCCTTGACTCCAGGAGGAAAAGGAAAAACTAGAACAAGGGTCAGAAGCTGGCCTAGTTACATCATGGGCCCTGATAAGCTACAAGAAGGTATGGGGCATGCCTTTAAGGGTCTAGTCTGATTCGGGCTCCAGGGACTCCCAGTGTGGGTCCAAGGCCACGGCTTCTGTCTGTTTTCCTCAGAGGACAACCTGTCCTGTGTATGTGGCAATAGGAATAGGGTGTAAGCTACTGTTGTGTGCGAGCCTTGGAGTCCACTAAGAAAGGTGGCACCTTCGCAGTGCAGAGGTAACCCTCCACACCCCAATAGCACTGTAAAGTGGGGGGCGTGTCTTTCCAAGGCAGAGGGAGGTGGTCTAGCCCACACTTGTGCAGCCAGCAGGAGACCCTGTGGGGTTTAGTCACACACGCACACACTCGTCTTGGTCCTCGAGGCTGCCCTGAGGTGAGGACAGTGACCATCTGAAGGCTGTACAGAGATGGACGCTTGCTTCCGTTTGAGGGTGATGCCCACGGCATTGTGAGGCCCCACTAGCCTGCACCTTGGGCACAGTGAGGATACCTGGAGGTTGTGGTTTGCATCCCGGAGGCTCCTGTTGGGCGGCAGCTTAGCCTTCTTCCCTCCTGCGGAGGCTCCTGGACACACAGCCCCAGTTCCCAGTGCGTGGCTGTTCCAGCCTCTGCCTGTAGTTGATAAATCACGAGTTGGGGTTGTGGGAGTGTGTGGGATCTGAGATTATTTTCTTTGACTATGATTCTGGAATTCAAGATGATGGAAATTGTGAGATGCCAGTTTGAGATGGTTCGGCCCTGCTCTAGTGCTCCAGATGTGTCTGTCTAACTCATTGGGTTTCCCAACACTTCCTTACTTGGTCACACACGGTGTTACCTATCTTTGCAGAGAGATCCAGGTGTATTGTCAGGATAGTCCCAAGTTTAAGTCTAGGTTGGCTTCTGGAAACTGCTCTGTGCTCTCCACAAATGGCCACATGTGAGTCTCATGACAGCCTGGTGAGGGCAATGCTCTTCCTGTCTCAGTGTTAACATCTAAGATACAACTCTGGGAAAGTCTCATGATGATAAGATGGGTGTTGATGCTGTCTCAGTTCCAACATCTAGAGTCAGAGTCTCCTCTGCAAGTTGTGTGTGTGTGTGTGTGTGGTGTGTGTGGTGTGTGCATGTGTGTGTGTGTTGGGGAGTGCTCATGTCCACTCTTCCTGCTCTGTCACTTCTGGTTCCAGGCTGGTTGGCTGGCTCAGGCTGGTTGGCTGGCTCTTGCTGTTAGGTCCTCAGAGGCTAATGCCTTCTACCTAGACCCTGTGCTTGCTCATCTGATTTGGTTTCCATGGGAATGTGTTAGGGCACCCAGCGCACTCTGGAAAATGAGCAGCTGTTCCCTTTAGGGCCTGCTGGAGGGTGGAGGGCCAGACAGCGCGTCTGGCCTCGGGGACTCCTGTGTTCACTTCCTCCTTCCTGCAGCTCCTTGTGTCACTGGAGCAAGCCACACTGGAGGTTGTGCCTTTGCTCTTCTGCTGCAAGCCCATTAGGTCATAGGAAGCTCCAACAAGCAGTCATCTTGGACTAAGTTCTTTCTCTCTACACTTTGTTTCTTGTTGTCATCCCCCTGGACTAGAGGACTCTTGGGACAGAAGAGTCCTAAGTCTCCCATTTCCTGTCCTTTTCCCTTTCCTGCTCTCAATTCCCAGCAAAGCTTCTGAGACTCAGAAACCCCTTTGGCAGATGGCAGAGATAGATGCACATCTGGATGGATGGGACGTGCCAGCTGCCTGCTCTGGGGTTTCCTAGCAACAGCCCCCTGGACCAGTAAAGGGAAGCTGTCTAGGCTGGGGCGTAGAGCTGTCTGCCCCAGGCCAGGCTCTGTCAGGCTAAAGCCGGAAGACCTTCGTCAGGTAACTGGAGTGCCGTGGACAGAAGGCCTCTGTCTTACTCACCTTCTTCTTCGCCACGGCTTAGTTCTAATCTGTGAAGCCTGGAGGCTGGGGTCACTACCGCGAAGGGCGTGGCCAGCCTCCCATCCATGTACCTTGATGCTATGCACGGACCATGGTGCTTCCCCCACTGTACTGTGGGTAGCGATTTTTCCTGTCCCAGGAACAGTCTTTCCCTGTCTACCTTCCTTGGAGACTCTGGCTTTTCACTGTGACCTGGGCTGAACCAAAGCCAACACAGCGGTGACCTGTAGCTTCTCTTCCTGTGCTCGTGGGATGGTGACGCGGAAGGGTGTGGTGGAGCCTTGAGTCCTTGTAGTCTCGTCTCCCCAGTGTCTCCACTGGCCTTGGGGAAGGGCGGCCCACACCACTACCGCCTCAGAATCTGGGAGAGTGCCATCCTCTTGTGTCTGCCCAGGTCCTTGGGGGAAGAGTGAGATTATGGCGACTGCGGCAGCTGGTGTCTAGAGCCCTAGATTATCCAGCCGTTCTGCCTCCACAGTAATCACCCCTCTTGCAGTTGCCATAACAACCGACATGGAGAGAGGCTGCAACGTGAAAGGCACTTTCGGGGTCTTAGTTTTGGTGACAGTCTGAGGAGAGGCAGGCTTGCCCTTACCCCTGTTCTTGTTAGCTTTAACTAGAATTATCTGGGAAGAGAATCTCATTGCCTGGTTCTTACTACCCTATGAGTATGTCTGTGGGGGATTGTCTGGATTGATGACTGATGTTGGAAACTCCATTACGTCGTGGGTGGCATCATTCCCTAAGCAGGTATATAAGAAAGCTCGCCCACCATAGGCCTTTGGTCATGGCCTAAGTTCCTTGGAGGTAGCATTGTGTGGAACAGTAAAAAGGCCTCCCTTCAGGTTTCTGCCTTGACTTCCTCAATGAAAGACAGTGACGTGGAATTGTAAACTGAAATACACCCTTTCCTTAGTAAACTGCGTTTGGTATTTGTCACAGCAGAAATGAAACCAGAGCAACCCCGGGCTTTCGGTTAAGGGCAGGGATTCTCAGATTTGGCTGATGACTTATAACATGGCACAGAATAGACACGCTGATACTAGGATTGGTATCTCCCACATCTCAGTTCCCCAGACAACCATGGTTGCTCTATGTGTAACTAGCAGGAGACATGTATCACTCAGCCCCAGGGTCCTTCCGTCTTCCTGCTCCAACGTCATGTTTGTAGCACGAGCTGCTGAATCACTGAGCGTCCTGTGAGCGCCCCAGTTAAGAATGTAAAAGAGTTCCTGTGTCATTCTGTTAGCTTCGAGAGTCTCCAGGAGACCCCAGAGAGTTCTGCTGGCGTTTTGTCTGCCAGAGCAGTGTTTCCTGACCATCCTAGGACTCAGAAGAGATAAGAAAAAGGAGAGATTTGCTGGGCATTTGAGTGGGTACAGGATTATTCTCACGTAGGTCAGACACTCTCCATCTCAGGGCTCAAGAGTCTGCTGCAGTGCTCACACTCGGATCAGGTGTGGCAGCCAGAGGGATGTTTTTTTGGAGGTGTCCCCAAGTGCCATTCCCTGCTTGCAAGAGTGTACACTGGGGTCAAGAGTATGTGTCTTTGCTGGCTGTATGGGCCATTGAACTCTTTAAGTGTGCAGTCTGAGCTGGACCCTCTCTGTCTCAGGGATAGGACTTCTCTCTGGAAGTCACCAGTCTGGTCTGAGTAGGCAGCTATGGATGAGTATCCATGATGATAGCACAGCAGGGAGAATGTGTGTGTGTGTGTGTGTGTGTGTGTGTGTGTGTGTGTGTGTGTGTGGTGTGTGTGTATATGTGTTGTGGGCATGGTGTAATGGGAAGGGCCTCTCTAGGTAGGTGGGGCTTATGTTGAGACCCTTCTGTGTCTGATGCCCTGCCCATGAAGGTGCATGTCCTGCAGTGAGGCTGTATGTTCTGCAGTGAGGACAGGTGTGTGTGTCCTGCAGTGAGGACAGGAGTGTGTGTCCTGCAGTGTGGACAGATGTGTGTCTTGCAGTGAGGACAGGTGTGTGTCCTGCAGTGAGGACAGGTGTGTGTCCTGCAGTGAGGACAGGTGTGTGTGTCCTGCAGTGAGGACAGGTGTGTGTGTCCTGCAGTGAGGACAGGTGTGTGTCCTGCAGTGAGGACAGGTGTGTGTGTCCTGCAGTGAGGACAGGTGTGTGTCCTGCAGTGAGGACAGGTGTGTGTGTCCTGCAGTGAGGACAGGTGTGTGCCCTGCAGTGAGGACAGGTGTGTGTGTCCTGCAGTGAGGACAGGTGTGTGTGTCCTGCAGTGAGGACAGGTGTATGTTTCCTGCAGTGTGGATAGGTGTGTGTCCTGCAGTGAGGACAGGTGTGTGTCCTGCAGTGAGGACAGGTGTGTGTGTCCGGCAGTGTGAACAGGTGTATGTGTCCTGCGGTGAGGACAGGTGTATGTTTCCTGCAGTGTGGACAGGTGTGTGTCCTGCAGTGAGGACAGGTGCACACTTCAGCAGAATGACAGGAACAGGTGTTGGTTATTCTCAGTTCCACGTGCCAGGGTAACCACACACGGGTTCATGCTGCGGGGAAGAGAAACAGGGGCCCAGCTTGTAGGTGGTCCCCAGGGAGTCACGGGGCCCATTGCGTTGCTTACTGCTGTGCTAAACTCCTTCATCTGCACAAAGCAGAGAGTGGACCTTCAGAGGCCAGGCTGTGGACCTGGGCTGTCTAAATCCATTGCACCACCATCCTAGCTGTATGACTTCCGGTGTGACCTCTCGGTTCCCTCATCTATGCAGGATGGTAGTCATTAGGTGGCTGAGTCGAACATAGGAAGAAGCCGGAGGCTGGGCCTGTGGTAAGATGGAGTGATCTCAAATGGTCCCTCCTGACATCTTCCTATGCCAACCCCTCACCCCTAAGAAAAATAGTTTCTCGACTTTTCGGAGCGAGTGAATGATGGGGTTTGTCGCATGTCTTCCTGGCTGTGTGACCACTGAGCTGGGTCTCTGCCTCTGTCTTGCTGTAGCCTTGAGTGTAAGGCCCTAGAGGTAGAGGAGCGAGAGACAGGTTCCCACAGCATCCCAGCCAAAAGTGTCCCGGATGACTCCCACCACAGGGGATTGCCTGCTGTCGGACACAGAGACAGCTAAAGCAACTCACAGTTCTGATGTCTCTGCAGTCCTGAGCCCTACTGTGCACAGGAAAGGGTCCCTGTAGAAGAGGAAGCCACAGCAGGGTACCATTTCTTTCTTGGGTGGAGAGGTGACCCCTTTGAATTAATATAACTTGTAAGGATTCTAAAGGGGTGAGCCAAAGTCAGATATGCATCTCCACCGCTTTAAGGCTGGTCTCAGTGGTGGTAATATACAGATGCTACCCTCTACCTGGCTGTGATCCAACTCCTGCTGCTGGGGATCTTGGGTTGGGGACGTGCTCCCTCTTCTGAGAGGCAAGGGCCTGAAGGTTTGTCAAATGGGACAAGGATTTGAAGGGTGGTATCCACAGAGAGGCTGGCTTGGGCTATTTTTAGAAGGAACCATGTGGGCTAGCCCCAAAGACAATAAAGAATGTGGCCCCACAATGGACCATTGTTTCTGTGGTGGCTTCAGGGTCAGCAGATGAGCCACGTCCAAAGGGGCTGAACTGTTGCTCCCGACCTATGGGTTTTTCCAGAGCTTGATCTGGGTAGGAGAGCAGTGCTGAGCCTGAAGGGGAGGGGGCAGGGAGGGAGGGAGGGAGGCAGGACTGGGCTTTTGTGTTCCCGGGGGTGGGGTGGGGAGGTGGGGGCTGGGGATTTGTTTGGGGGAACAATAAGGCATATGGCTCAGGAGACTACTGTGCTGGAGTTAGGGGTCCTGCCTGTGCCTGTGTGCCTACCTGTGCCCAACTGTGCCTCCTGGTGCCTGTGCCTCCTGGTGCTTGTGCCTGCCTGTGCCTGCCTATGCCTGTGCCAAGGCCTGCCCACGCCTTGCGGTCTCCTCACATCCTCACAGACACTGCCACAGGTTCAGATTCCTATTCCACAGAATGGGGTGGGGGTGGGGGGCTCTGGGCATGCGTGCACCGGAAGTCTTCAGGGTTAGGACGCCCTGTGTCTCTGCCTTGGTGGGGACAGAGCCAAGTCTTGAGTGTGTGCTCATGTGTGTTTGAGACAATGTGTAGCCCAGGCTGTCTTCAAAGTCTCCTTCTGCCCATCTTACCCTCTTCAAGGGAGGGGCTATACATGTGTATGGACCTAGAGTGAGGCCTTGGTGGCACACTGGCTACTGGGAGCGTCATGCAGCCACAGAGCACTTGCCTGGTGGGTGTGAGGCCCCGGGTTCCATCTCCAGTGTGTGCAAGCGGCCAAAAGAGAAAACAGCACTCAGGCACCATTCCCTGGAGGTGGGACTCTGCAATGAGGGTTCATTCTCTGTTTCATACCAGTGAACCCATGCACGCCTTTGCTAGAAAACAGCACTCAGACACCATTCCCTGGAGGTGGGACTCTGCAATGAGGGTTCATTCTCTCTGTTTCGTACCAGTGAACCCATGCACACGCCTTTGCTAGAAAACAGCACTCAGACACCATTCCCTGGAGGTGGGACTCTGCAATGAGGGCTCATTCTCTCTGTTTTGTACCAGTGAATCCATGCACACGCCTTTGCTAATTCACCCATGTGCACTGCTGTTCACAGACATCCCTGCGCACTGTGCATCAGGACTGCTCTGCTTAAAACGACTACATCCATACCCAGGCACAGTGTTGTAATAGTATGAGCTTGTGTGTGCTGCTTCACCCGCGAGCACGGCAAACGCAGTACGCCTGTGCGCTGCCTCTGTGAGCAGTGTCATACTGGCTCACCCGGATGCATTGCTCCACCCCTGCAAACATGTGGGCTGCTGTTTTAGTACAGGCATGAGCACTGCTGTACCAGTACACCCACGTGCTCTGTTGTGTAGACACGGATGTCTGTGCTACAATAGTCCTCCAATCAGGGAATCCCTGTCCCCATGGGCTTCACAGCCTTATTCTGGTCACCCAAAGGAGACTGCTCCCAAGACAGGTTAGAGTTCAACTTCCCAGACCACAGCTCCTGAGTGGGTGTCTTCCCCATTAGACCGTGGGGTACCACTCTTGCCTCCCGCCTCAAGAGACTCGTATGGGTGCTAGATTCTGGGAGAAGGCTGGTGGCGCCAGGGGTTTTTCTGTGTCCTACTTATTTAATCTCACATTTGTTGCAAGCTGATGCATCGTGACCTTCTGAGATGCAAGTGGGCTCCGATGTTTCCAACGTGTGTGAGTGTATGGCGTGCATGACTCAGGGAAACAGGGCTGGTTGGCTGGGGCACCTCCCCCTGTGTCACCTGCCTGCCTCTGACCACCAGGTGTGGATGCAGGCGTCACACAGCACCCCTTGCAAGAAATGATCTGGAGAGGGTACGGCTTACAAGGAAGGCCTCAGTGTCCCCAGCTGACCTGGAGGAGGGCAGCCAACCACATCAGAGGAGGAGGCTGGTGCTCTCAGATGAGGAGTTTCGCTCCCCGGAGATGGGTCTTGGGTCCTTAGAAGCCTTGACTGACAACAAAGCGGACAGATAGCGTGGGGCAAAGGCAGGGTCACAACCATCTACACGGGAGGTTCAGATGACAAAGGCAGGGCAAACCAGCGCACAGGGAGACGAGGGCTTGGGACTAAGATGGAGCCTGCCTTTTGGGGGGCAGAAGAAAGATGGGCATGTTCCTCACTCTCATGAGGGTGCATGGGGAGGACTCTCAGTGATGCATGAGAGAGAGGGAGTCAGGTGGATCATTGCAGGTTCTCTGGTCAACCCAGAAAGGAAGGTTGTTAGCCCACGACACTGACAGTCCCAGGAGGATGCCTTTGAGACTTCTACCTTCTTTCTGCTTCCCTTTACCATCCCCGGGCTGATGGTTTCGTTCAGGTGAACCCTTGCCTTGTGGTAATATGATGGCTGCTAGTTAGGCTTTGCCAGGTCAAGCCTGATCCACTTTCACAGCAGTGAGGTTAGCTCTGCTTGGTATCACCTGCTCTTGAGTGACTTTTGAGGTGCAATGTGGGAATTGACCTCAACCTGTGAAACAGGAGAGGTGAACACCAACAGATACTGGAGCCAAGGGGTGCAGTATGTGTGCGTGCGTGTGTGCGTGCGTGTGTGCGTGCGTGTGTGCGTGCGTGTGTGCGTGCGTGTGTGCGTGCGTGTGTGCGTGCGTGTGTGGGTGCGTGCGTGCATGGGTGCGTGCGTGCGTGCGTGCGTGCGTGCGTGCGTGCGTTCGTGCGTGCGTGCGTGCGTTCGTGCGTGCGTGCGTGCGTGCGTGCGTGTGTGCGTGTGTGTGTGTGTGTGTGTGTGTGTGTGTGTGTTAGTTGCTGCTCTTTTGCTGAGAAGAGACACCAAGGCAACCTCCATTAAAAAACAAAACAAAACTCAAGCATGTAATTGGCTGGCTTACACTTTCAGAGGTGTAATTCATTATCATCAATGGCAGGGAGCTCGGCAGCCCACAGTGGCTGACCCATAGGCCAAGGGGTCAGGGCGGGGACCAAAGAAAGAAAGGTTAACACTGGGCCAGGTGTGGGCTTTTGTTTTCAAAGCCTGCCTTCAGTGACACGCTTTTTCCCAACAAGGCCATGCCTCCTAATTTCCTAATTCTAATTCTATCAAAGGTTTCCATTCCCTGCTGCTTAAGCTTTCAAATATATGAGCCCATGCGGGCCATTCTTACTCAAAATACCACATTGTATATTCCCACAGGAAACAGGGGTGTCCTTTGAAACGGGGAGTGACTTCCAGGAAGCCGCAAATAAGCAAATATTTATTACCCATAGGTTAGGTGAGGCACAGGTGCAGGGAATCAGGAAGCTCATGCCAGATGCAGAAAACAAAGTCCTTTTCAGGGAGTGTGGCTGGGGCCACTTTGTCCCTGGACCATAGTGCACAACCTGTCTTCTGCCTCCCGGTACAGCTTTGCTCTGCCTTCCTGCCCTCCCCTCCCCTCCCCTTCTCTCCCCTCCCCTCCCCTCCCTCCTCTTCCCTTCCCTCCCCTCCCCTCCCTCCCCTCCCCTCCTCTCCCCTCCCCTCTCCTCCCTCTTTTTGGCCTCAAACATCCGCTGTCACCAGCACAGAGCCCCGGGGGCCAAAGGAGGTGTGTACTTGGGGCATCCTCAGAGCACAGCTGGGAACACGGCAGGTGTCCACAGTCCAGTGATTCGGCCACACTGTCACTGTGAATCCCAGGTGACGGGGGCTCCGTCTGTGATCTCTCCGCAGGAGCAGGACATTGAAACCCTACACGGCTCCCTGCATGTCACGCTGTGTGGGACCCCCAAGGGCAACCGTCCGGTCATCCTCACATACCACGACATCGGCATGAACCGTGAGTTCGGAGAGCCAGGTCACTTGGGGGAGGGACAATGCCAGCTAGGCGTGGCTAGCGGGAGTCAGCCGCTCTTCTGGCTTTTTTGTGACTTGGAGCTATTCCAGAAGGGATTCCTGCCTCCATCTGGGTAAACATGAATCACACTGCGTATGGTCCAGTGTTACTAGCATTGGGTGCTCTGGGGACAGGAAGCAAGTGCTACGCCACCTAACAACCTGTTACATGACTTAAAAATTAGTGCGTGGAACAGTCTTCGATGTCACCACAGAGATGTGCATAGTCAGCAACACAAGCAGCCCTAGGAGTCTGTAGTCACCCTATAAACAAGCCTTGTCCCCTTTCTCCACTGCCCTGATCTTTCATGGACCTCAGCCCTCTGAGGACGCCCTGTCTCCTTCTGTATGTCTCTAAGACTCTCATATAAGCACGCCCCTGCAGTGTGTGGTCCTTCATGATTGGTTCATGCCTGGCTTCGTCCATGTTTTCAACATTTATATGTGTGGTAGCCTTTGGTAGTACTTCACTCCCTTGTTGGTGAATAGGATCCTACCGGAAGCCACACTCGTTCATCCACATTTCTCCAACAAACATCATGGCCAGGCCTGTCACAGCAATACCCCACTCCCAGTACCAACTTCTGTCTTAGGCACTGGTCTGTTGCTGTGAAGAGACACCATGACCAAGGAAACTCTTAGAAATCAAAGCAGATTTTGGTCATGGCATAGAGCATGGAGACAGGCAGTTGTACAGTGCTGGAGAAGTAGCTGAGAGTTACTCCCTAATCTGCAAGCAGAGAGAAAGACTTGTACTGGCGTGGGCTTTTGTGAGCTGCCGTGTGGGTGCTGGGAATTGAACCAGGGTCCTCTGGAAGAGCAGCCAGTGCTCTTAACCAGTGAGTGGGCATGGGCTTTTGAAACCTCAAAGCCCACCCACAGTGACACACTGCTTCCAGCAAGGCCACACCTACTCCAAAGGGACACTCCAAGTCCATCTAATCTAATCGAATCATCAGTACCACTCCCTGATGACTAAGTATTCAAATACTGTGGGGGCCGTTTTCATTTAAACCACCACACTGGAGGGTGGATATTTGGGTTCATTGGACTTAACTGTTATACACAGTGTTGTAGTGAATATTGATACGTTGGATTTTTAAGATGACAGGAAGTAAGTCAGGCTTGATGGCCTATGCTTGTCATCCCAGCATTTGGGAAGCTGAGGCCAGGGCATCTCTGTGAGTTCGAGACCAACCTAGACTACATAGTAAGTTACAGGTCAACTTGAGCTACCGAAAACGAGGCCAGGCGTGGGTGGTAGTGCGGCCCTCTCTAATCCTAGCCCTTGTGGGGAGAGTCAGGACGATCAGGAGTTCAAGGACAGCCTCTTTGCTTCAGCCCTTAGCAAGTGGGAGGCTCATTCCAGAAGACACAGGTGGACCCTCCTTGTTTGAAAAGTATGTGTGTCTTGAAAGGTGTCCCAGACCCCACAGCCTGGAAGCCGGGAGGAGTGGGTATATCTGGTACTGTCCCCGTGGTGATTATGCAAGAGGGGGCATTCAAGGAGCTTAGGGACCAATTCCACCCTGTACCAGATCTTAGCTCTGGCTTCTTCCTGCCTCTGTCACCGGAGGGAGGCCTGGGGGGAGGGTGGGCAGACTTGTACTCTTTCTTTTGACATAGGATTTCACGAGTGAAACTGTCTAGGATGACTGGTCTAGAACTCTCTGTGTAGACCAGGCTACCTCGAGCGAACTCACAGAGACGCACACTTCTGCTGCTCCTAAGTGGTGGAATGAATGAGTGTGGTTTATTGCGGCCAGCCCTCTCTCCTCACTTCTTTCTCGTGTCCGGCAGACAAGACCTGCTACAACCCGCTCTTCAACTCTGAGGACATGCAGGAGATCACACATCATTTTGCCGTCTGCCATGTGGATGCCCCTGGCCAACAGGATGGTGCCCCATCCTTCCCAGCGGGGTAAGAGCGGAGACCTCACCCCGGGAGCAGATGGGGTGGAGGTGGTGTGGGAAGTGTCAAGGTAAAATGAAACTTAGCCATGGTAAAATACCAGATTTCCTATTTCTAAGCTGGGCGTCAGGAAGCATTACCTGGTATCTCAGCCCTTGGAAAGCTGAGGCGGGAGGAAAGCTGAGGTCAGCTTGGGCTCGTTGCAAAACCATCTCCAAAAAGTTTTTAAAAAAAGAAGTCAGGAAAGAAAGAAAAAGAAAGGAAGGAAAGAAAGCCCAAGGCAGTATATTTTATTTCAACAATTTTTTATGGCTACATGTGTATATAACATAACACATATAACACACACAGCATAGAATAGCATAGCATAGCATAGCATAGCATAGCATACATAACATAGCCCAGGTCTAAAGAGCTTGTTCAATGATGGGGTAAAGTTAACTCTTAACCAGCTGACAAAATCAGGGCATCCCCACTAAGTCAGCCTGGACAACTACTGTCTGAGAGATGGGGGGTAGGTTATGAGGAGACTTACCCCCAAGTAAAGTCTCATGACGTTCCTAGACCTGCTTCCCCCAGAGAAAAATGCAGATTAGATGTGCGTGTGCCCCCTAAGTTTACCAGGTGGCTCCCGTGTAGCGCACTGCTGGGACGGGATGTGGCTTCTCCTGTCTGTCCTCTGGAGTCGGGGCTAGGTGACACCCTTGTCTTGGAGCCTTCAAAGCAGGATTGGAGATCAATGGCTGTATCCTCCTTTCTGGAGGATACTTCGTGCTTAGGAATCTGCCACTCTTCTCCGGTCCCAGGAAGCTGACAGGAAACGGAATCCCTCATAGCTAGGTGGCTTTTCCGTCTTGTACTTGGGAGACTCCAGCTCCAAGCTGAGGCGTGGCCACCCCCAAAGCAGTCCCATGTGTTTGCCCCTCCTTTGTCCCAAAGCTGTCTCCAGTGCAGAGAAGTCACACCATCTTCCAGGGTCCTCCCTGCCAAGGATCCGTCTCCCCTTTGGGCTCTGGCACTGCCTCAGCATCACCGCCTCCTGGAGACCCTCCTTGATCACTTGGATCCCTTTGCTCCCATCCCGCCGGTGCCTTTTACACTCTTTTCTGTTGACTCACCTGTCCCTGTACTGCTGGGTTCCCATGGGCTCCGTTCCTCACAGGGAACCTGACCTGTGCGCCCAGCCCACGAACTGCTACATGGGTTCCGCTCCTTCACACGCGTTCTAGATGCTTCTTCCTGAGGCCACCCACAGCTGTGAAATGCCATGTGATCTGTGTTTCATCTGCATCACCAGAGATAGGACAGATCTTCCTGCTTGCTAGCTACCTTCTGAGTCTAGACAGATGGCCAGTGGCTTCCACGTAGCTGATAAGACTCAAGGCAGGGCTGGAGAGATGGCTCAGAGGTGAAGAGCACTGACTGCTCATCCAGAGGTCCTGAGTTCAATTCCCAGCAACCACATGGTGGCTCCCAGCCATCTGTCATGAGATCTGCTGCCCTCTACTGACCTGCAAAAGACTCAGGGCAGAGGAAGTTGTAGGGTTAGGGGTTAGGGTGGGATGTCCTCACACAGCGGATGCCGAGGGGTGTGGATGTCACACCAGTGTTGCTCCGTGGAGGGGCCAGCCCGTGTTGGGCTTTCAGAATGTCCTGGCAGGGATGACTTGTTTCTTCGAAGCGTCTGATTTCTCAAGATCTGCACCCCCACGCCTCCCACAGGTACATTTACCCCTCCATGGACCAGCTGGCTGAGATGCTCCCTGGAGTCCTCCAGCAGTTTGGGTAAGAGCGAGGGGCCCTCACTTCTAAGGATGTTAAGGGCAGCTGCCGGCCCCCTTCTCGTCCCTGGCCTGACCACTAAGATGCAGGTCGGAGACCTCAGATGAGTCTGGAAGGGGACTTGCAGCAGCTTGGACCCACTGTGAATGCCAGCTCGTGACGGCAGCCTTGCTTCTTGAGTGGCCTCAGTGCCCTCTCTGTCCTTGCTGGCTGGTCCCCTGGCACATTCCTGGAATAGTGTTCTCTGGAAGCTTGGCTTCTCTCTCCAGACTCTTCACTCTGCCTTGCAGGCTACCCTTCCTTTCTCGCTGCAGCCTCTCCTAGGGTTAAACCCCATGGTTCTGGACCAGTTTGTTCTCGTTGCAAGTTTTGGAGACCAGATTAAGGCTTGGGAGTAGGGTGAGGCAACTTCTTAATGAGCCTTCTTGTAGATGCTAAGCATCTTCAGAGCCTTGGCTGGCTGCAGCAAGGAGAAAAGGAGGGATGAGGTTCCCAAGGTCACAGCTCTGGACTTGGAGGGCATATCAGAGCAGCCTGCCTCTCAGGGCACGGGCAAGCTTGCCGGCATCCTCAGAGCTATCTAAGGGGTGGAGCTCTCAGGAGTAAGCGAAGGGGATTTACTGGGGCAGGCAGGAGCTCTGTCACGTCTCCCTTCGGCTACCTGAGTGTTTGGTTTCCAGGCTCAAGAGTGTCATTGGCATGGGGACAGGAGCCGGCGCCTACATCCTGACCCGCTTTGCAGTAAGTTCTTCTACAGTTCGCAAAAACTACTTGGGAAAAAGAGTGTTGCTTTGCAGGCACAGAGACTTGAGGACTGGAGTTCGAATCCCCAGAACCCATGCTGAAGAAAGGCATGGCTGCAGGCACCTGTAACCTCAGCCTGAGGATGGGGTGGAGTTAGATGAGACTCTGGAGAGGTCTCTGGCGTGCGTGCGTGCGTGCGTGCGTGTGTGTGTGTGTGTGTGTGTGTGTGTGTGAGACCCTTGTGATATGTGCCCCATAGGTCCCTGTGCATGTACATTCATACTAACAGCTGAAATGCCACAGTGGACAGGGCTTTGGTCACAGGCCTTGTTCCCTGTGTAGGCAATGGGGATGGCTTCCCCCTCAGCATCCTCAGATCCTGCAGTGTTTTGCCTGCAGAGTTTTGTGATCCAGGCCCTCTGGGATCTTGACGGGATCACGAGACACATACGAATGTGACAGTGCCCACTGCTAGCACCGTGGGGGTCCTTCTTGCCTTTGCCAGTGACCTTAAAGTGGCCCACGTCCCTCAACTCAGGGGGTGTTTTGATGCCTGCTGAGTGCAGAGCCTTGATGGTGCTCAGGCAAGCCAGCTTGGGTATCTGCTTCAAGTAGATATGGGATGGTCTCAGAGTCCTAAATACACAGGCATTGCAGGCAGCAGAGCCACAGGGCATTTCTGGGTCCTTCTCACTTTGCTGTGGCGTGACTGGGGCACCCCTGGGCATCCGGGAAAGCTGAGACTGGGGACATGATTTGCAGGTCCCCGAAGTGTGAACGCATTTTCTTCGGTGGCTTCTCTTGGGAGGACCCAACCTACTTCTGACTGGGCTCCAAGCTTCCACTGCTGTTGGCTTGAAGGCCTCTGTGTGTGTTTTTTAATTCCTTGGTTATAGCTCACGCTGTGTCTCTGATTACAGCTCAACAATCCTGAGATGGTGGAAGGCCTCGTGCTTATGAATGTGAATCCGTGTGCAGAAGGATGGATGGACTGGGCCGCCTCCAAGGTAGGCTGGGCGGGCGGGCGGGCGGGCGGGGTTCCAGCCTCCTCCCGGGGGTGTCTTCTTGGCTCCACTTTCCCTGCTGCCCAAGAGAGCAACCTTCTTGGACCGTGTTTTGACTAGCAACCAAAAGTCACTCCACCCTGGCTGCTGTCCCAAGAGTCCCTGTTGATCCTGTTGGTTTTTTTTTTTTAAGTGATGGTTGCTTTTCTTTTTTCTATAAAGTCCCCAGGGATTGCCAAGGGTAAGGAGAAACTTCCGACAAAGCCGTTCGGGCTGGAGCGATTGGTCTCTCATTGGAATGGGGGTTTTTGTTAGTTTGGACAGCTGTTGAGGAAGAGGGCATGAGCCACACCCACCCCCCTCCCTGTCTGCTAGGTGCTATGGTTCTTCCAAAAGCATCAAGAGTCCTGGCCCTGCCTGTAGGGCGGTCAGAGGAGCAAAGCATCCTCCCTGGTTTTTATTTTATTTTCCAGTTGAGAAAGGGGCATTCCATTTGGGCCGACTTGGCTGGTGCTCACCTGTTCCAAGCCAATCAAGGAGGGCTGGCCTCTGGCTGAGATGCTGTGGTCTTAATGAATTCCCATGGCTGGCCATCTGGCCTTGAAGGACTGCCTGCGTATCTAGGGCCTATGGTGTGCCCGGCCCGAGTGTCAGAGCCAGCCATGCCTGGATGCCTTATTAGATCCTTACCGTGGGAGCCTTGCTATGTCCTGATGACATGGTTTTTAACACCTCCAGTTACAGCCAAGAGATTTGAGGTCCAGGGCCGCCAGCCAGCAGCCCAGTGCTCCTCAGCTGCAGGTAGCCATCAGGCCAGTTCAGGACCCCAGGTCAAATGCTCATCTTTCTTACCCATCTCTACCCAAGCGTGCTACCCCTATGGTGTCTAACTTATCTGGAGAGCAGTGTACATGTATAGGGTTTATACAGCTCCTGGTGTATAACTACGGATTTTATGTCACAATCTGAGCATTTATTGAGCACCAGCTGCGTACTACTCTGCATTTATACAGCTCCTGCTGCATAACTAGTGCTTTGGATTTTATGTCACGATCTGAACATTTATTGACCACCAGCTGCGTACTAACATGCTTTCAGATCCTGCTGTATCCAGTCCTTCTGGGGGTGGTGTGGGTAGTCATTAGTGAATTCAGAGACTTGAAGGAATTCACAGACCAGGAACTTGGCTGGAGGAGAGAAGCTAGGGGGTGGTGGGGGAGGGGTAGTCAGGGTCAAGTGGGGCCCCGCGCTGCGGATAAGGCCCTCACTGCTTTGGGTGATGGGGCCTGTGCTGAGGAGGTGGTGGGCCTCGGGAGCAGGGAAAACTTGGCCTAGCTGGATTGTGACTCCACCACACATGCTGTCTGTCTCCTCCATGTGGGCTCAAAGAGGAAGGAACTAGATGGGAAGCCAGGCCTGCCTGCCCTGTAGGTTCAGGAGCCCGTCCGCCACACAAGCAGATGTGTGCTATGCTCGGTGTCTGAGATAACCGACTTCCGCTGAGGAAGCGGGGGCTCACCGGTTTGGAGGACTTGGTCCCTGTGACGAGACAGTGTGCCCCGGCAGTAGTCTAGCCGCCTTGTGGCTGGGGCAAAAACAAAAGAAATTACCCCGATGTCCCTGAGGTCTGCTGTGGGTCCCAACCTTTCAAAGGTGCCCGCTCATCTCCCAATAGTTCAGGAGAGCCTTCACTCCATTGGCCTTTGGCACATATCCCAGAGTGAAGCTCTGGCCAGGCTGTCCCGGAGACCTGGGAGAGGCTCCGGGAACCAGGTGTCACTCTGCCCCCAGGGCCCCAGGCTGTCTTCTTTCTCTGCTGCTGAGTCCTAGTTGCCAACTCTCCTCTGCTTGCCCTCCACAGATTTCCGGATGGACCCAAGCCCTACCAGACATGGTCGTGTCCCACCTCTTCGGCAAGGTGAGTGGTGTGTGTTTCCTGCTGTCCCCGCACTCAGGGCCACATGATACGATCAAGGGGTGACCCAGACTGAGGTCTGTGAATTATTGTGAAACACTGACTCACAGCCAGCAAGCCATTCATACTGTTTTCCTACCCCCTCCCTTTCAGAATTTCATACATGTGTACAATGTCTTCCCCTCCAGCTCTTCCCAGGTCTCCCTCCCGACCGTGTGTGTGTGTGTGTGTGTGTGTGTGTGTGTGTGTGTGTGTGTGTGTGTGTGTGTGTGTGTGTGTGTGTGTGTGTGTTTAGTTACTGAATCCGGCTGGTGCTGCTGATATAAGCAAGAGTATAGGCATGGGCAGCCTACGTAGGGACACCATCCTTGAAGCCAACAGCCAGTAGCTCCTCAGCAGGGGTGAGGCTTCTTGCTAAGCCTTTAGTTGAAGCTCAATGAGTGGTATGTATTTGAACAAAAACGTCAGCCCTCAGAACCGCTAAGGCAGTGGAAATGTCCTTCACACACACACACATGTTCTGGAACCTCTTTTCACGCCTCCCCGGCACCTACTGCTCTGCTTTCTGTCATCCTGGATGTCTGTCCGCGAATCCCGTACTGCTCTCTTTGCTGTGGCCTCTCACCCTTAGCAAGATGATTTTAGAATTTTTTTGGAATCTGCTTACAAACTTTTGGACGACGTCATCCATTTGGTACTGCGTAATGTTTTACTCAGTGGACATACCGCAGCTTTTCTGTTGGCCTGGGATGGGCCTTCATCTGTAATAGTTTGGGGTTGTTACGAGTGATGGCTTCAGTGTACACATCTGTGGGATCAGCTCCAAGTCTGTGTGGTGCTCCATCCCCAGTATTAGCTCAAAGAATCAGCTCAGGCCACATACATACCGTAGAATCATCACAGGAGCCCTGTGACCACACATTCAGTCCATTTTGAGGGGAAAAAACTCTGACCAGAGTAAGGTCTCCCAAGCCAGGAGAAGCGTGACTGGTATTTGAACTTGCGAGTTTGCCTACAGCCTTTACCCTTGCCTGGTTCTTCCATGGGCTGAAGGCTGAGCATGCATCCTTGCAGTGTACTGGTGGCGGGCCTGGGCCCTGCCTCTGCCTGGTGTCACAGATCTGGCCTCAGTCAGAGCCAGCAGCCCCAAGAGAGGATGTGCTTTCGGCTCACACACAAGTTCAACGTCTGGAAAAACCCCTTGGTTGCCCAGACTCGTTGATGCACACCGCTCACTGGATGGAGCGTTGTCTGCTGCCGAGCTCATGAATGAGAGACAACGTGATGCCGTCCCAACGTTCAGGGCAGCAGAAGACACCCCGCTTTGCTTTTTTGGGGGGCCACCCTGGGCTGGGAAACAGCTTAGGGCAACCTGAGGGCATCATCACACATTGCAGACCGTCCTCAAGTCCCTTGGGGCTGGCTGAGGCCCCCAGGTTGCACTGTTATTTTAACCAGGTCCCGCAGACCACTGTCCCCCAGGATACTTTGCCGTGGCTTAGCATCCTTGCTGACAAATGGGCCCTTCTGGTGTTCTAAGTGACAGGGTCAGCTTGCTCTGAGGTCTGCCGTGAAGCAGGAGTCCCCAGTGTAGCTGAGGCTCCCGGGGGGAAAGATAGGCCTCCCTGGTGTCACTCAGCAGCCGGCGCCGGGCACCACAGGCGTGCCCCAGATCGAGGCCTTCTGGGTCCCGGCCGTCTTCTCCCTCCCTATCTCTGTGGCGTGAGTGGTGACAAGCCTCGCCCACTCTTCCCTCTGTCACCGCAGGAGGAGATGCACAACAACGTGGAGGTGGTTCACACGTACCGCCAGCACATTCTCAACGATATGAACCCCAGCAACCTACACCTGTTCATCAGCGCCTACAACAGGTAAGAGCCCTGTGCAGGGCTGGCCTTGGCCGTGGCAGCCTGGGGGCCTCAGCAGCCTCCTGCAGCAGGCCTGGACCGTCTGTGCAGCTGTAGGTTAGGACAGTTGAGTTCTAGGAGGACAATGACTGTGCCCGGCGTTGCCAGGCCCTCAGCACTGAGTGAGTTCTGCCAGGAGCTGCCCGATACTTCTATCCAGACTGGGACCCGATGAGTGGGGTGTAGCTGCGCAGTCTGGGTGGAGAGTGGAGGTATGTGCCCAAGGCTGGCTCAGGGTGAGAGCTGCTGTGGGTAGATCTGGGTGAGAGAGAGAGAAGCATGGTGGGTATATGGAACCCTGGAGGCTGCTGGGAAGAGAGTCCGCCCGGATGAGGATAGTTAGTGGAGCTCTCCTGAGGAGGGGCAGCACAGGGTCGCTAGCGTCATGGGGCATGTACTCCCTCAGCCTGCTGAGGCACCTCTGCTGTGCTCCCAACACAGGGGCCAGGTGTGAGCCTTGCATGCATCTCACCCAGGACGGTGCCTAGGATTTAACCTCCTAGAAGTGAGTTGACATTTGTAATGAGCCTAGCATCTCTGATGGACCTGGGTGCCCTTTCCCCAATCCCGTCAGCGTCCCAGTGCAGGGGACCCATGGCATTCTCGCTGCTGTCTGAAGATGCAAATGGGTACCCAGAAGACGGATGCCTGGCTGGACAGGGAGTGGGGCTCACAGGTGTAAGCCGGTCCCTGCACAGCAGCCAGTGGCAAAGGCTGCTGTTGAGACATTTTCCTGGTGAGGAAGCACAGAAAGGTTTATTAGACTTCTTCCCAAGGCCACACAGCTAGGAAGTGGCGCGACGGGATTTCAGTTCCGCAGGGCTAGCTTTGGTGTCAGAGCTCCAGCAGGCAGAGAGGCCCGGTGCTCACATGCAGGCAGGGACCAGGTCCACATTGGACCTCTGCTAGCGGAGTGGGACACATGGAGAGGTGGCTCGAGTTTTGGAGATGGCTGCTTGTGCTGAGACTTCAAAACTGCTGAGTTAGGAGCGGACGGGTGCCGGGAGAACATCCTGGAACTTTTGCAATGGTGGGTGGGGGCCCTAGCTAGGGGGACAGGGAGGCAGGGACCTCTAGTGAGAGCCTGATTTGCTTTCCTGCGGAACTGATATTAACCCTGATAACAAACTTCAGGCAAAATGAGGAAGGTTTCACTGGAAGCAGATGAGACCTGTTGGCTCTGTGGACACTAAGAGGCCATGAGGTCTTGAGAGCTACATGGTCTCATAAAGATGGCCTATGGGTGTTCTTCTATGTGTCTCTGGTGGGAGTGGCTTCCGGGGCTGGCATGGTGGGAGTGGCTTCCGGGGCAGGTCTGCCAATAGTAACCATGAACGTGTTGTCTGCAGCCGACGGGACCTGGAGATCGAGAGGCCAATGCCTGGAACCCACACCGTCACCCTGCAGTGAGTGGCTTCCTTCCCCTGTGTAGCCAGGCTGCCATGCTTCACTCAGGGCTGCTGCTGCTGCTGGCTTCTGCCGGCTGTGAGAAATGCCACCTTAGGGCGGAACACTTTGGTGAAGAGGGCTGGCTATGCCTTACCCAAGGCATCTGACTCGAGCTTCTCCTTGCGTAGCTGGAGTCAGTGTCGGGTCAAGGGAGCCGTTGAAATACTAGGAAGCTGCCTGCCTTAGTTAGTGTGTTCAGCACCAATGGCCGAGTCTTCCCAAAGCCTAGACATGAAAAAGACAGCCATTCATATATATAGTGGTTGCCGCTAACATATTCCACTGCCGGTGATGGTGTCTTTTATGGTTCCCGGTGTTCACCACACTGTCGGATACCTGTGAACCTGGCATATGTCATTTTCTTTGTCATTTATGCCAGACTTTTTTTTTTTTTGATCCATCTTAATTCCTGGAAAATTCCAGTTGCTCCTTCCCCAGGCGGAGGGTGCTTTGGAATGAAAGTACCAAGACACAGGAGTCACTGGGCTGCAATTTTATACAGAGATATAAGTAGCTGCTAGCCCTCAGCTGCTGGCCGAGGATGGGAGTGAGCATAGGGGCATAGAGATGGGAAGGGTGCTAGGGAACCTAAACAGGCTTTCAGAACCCTGCCGCAGCCCGGAGCTGGCGTGTAAGACCCTGGGGAGGGACCCTGGACTGACTCCTCTTTCCCTGTCCTGTGCAGGTGCCCTGCTCTGCTGGTGGTTGGGGACAACTCTCCTGCAGTAGATGCTGTGGTACGTATCCGTTCAGACACAGGTGCACACCTGTATGAGTCTCCCCGCCTTCCCCTCCCAGAGCAAGGACATTGTTTAAATGCCACACCAGCCTTGGGGCAGAGCTCAGGCCAGCTTCTCGCTGTGATCACCCGTCCTGGCTGCCTGGCCATGTGCCTCCCCTCCCTCCTGCTGTCCCTGGGCACATATCCGTGCGGCAGGATTGAGGTTTATTTAGTGTCATAGCTAGGGATCCTCCCCCAGTCCCCACAGCAAGTGGGCCTTTATTTCTGCTTGTTGGAAGAGCGGTTCAGGCAGCCGGGTCAGGCAGAGCTTTCTGCCTCAGTTAAGGAGGCACAGAGAGCATGTCTGCTTTTCAGCGTCCCTACACCTCAGGAGATGTGTGACATGAGGCTGTCGCTCAGAGTCCAGACTGTGTCTCCCTGCCTCTGCTGTTCTCCACAGAGCAGTATTGACCCTGACTTGTCTCCAGGTCACAGAGTTAGTCGTGACAGGGCCAGGCTCCAAGCCATGTATGTTTAACAACCCAAAGCCTACCTTCTTTCTCCACGGCTGAAAGAACGCTGGTGTTTCAGAAGGTGGGGAGAACAGGGATCTCTCGACTTGGGCTGAGTCAAGTACTTACCTACTCTTCCTCCCCCTTCCCCCGGTTCAGGTGGAATGCAACTCCAAGTTGGACCCTACGAAGACCACCCTGCTGAAGGTATGAGCAACACTGGGTCTGCAGCGGGTGTGGCTTAGAGGCACCATATGTTTCCGAAACTGAGCTAAGCTTGTTGGAGCCTAGAACTGTTGTTAGAGCCATAAAAATGAAGATTTGGAGTTGGGTGTCGTGCATATCGTAGTCTCCAGAGGCAGGAGAACCTCAGGTTTGAGGCTCTCCTAGGCTCCACAGCATGCTCTAGGCTAGCCCAGACCATACTTAGAGACCCTGTCTTAAAGGGAGAAAGAAAGGAACACGTGGAGATAGGGTTAAGGAAGCAAGCAAGTGGTCCATCCTGGAGACTAGACAGCAGGGGTCTATACACTTCTGTCCATGCAGCTGCGGCAGGATAGACCGGAAACGTAGGACAGCAGTCTCTTTATCCTAGGGTGGGGCAAGTACATCACTGTACCAGATCTAGTGCACTGAGAGGCTGTGAGGCCGGGCAAGCCTCCTCCAGCAATCTTCCGAGTTCAGTGTGGTCGCTACCTTGTGTTAGACACCTTCAGAAACCCCACAGCAAGCTGTCAGGGCTGTTTGCACACCCAAAGCCACATGTGTGTGGCAGCTGTGTCTGGGCTGTGCCACAGGCTCAGGCTTCTTCCTAAGGATCTCCCGGTACTCTGGAGGCTGGGATCTTGAAAATCCCACGTGCCACCCTGGCTTCCAAAATGGCACCGTTGAGCCCTGTATGCTTTTAAGGGTTAAGTGGAGTGGTCTGTAGGGGCTTGTTGCTGTGCCTAAGCTTTAAGGGGTAGCTGCCAAGGAGGCTAAGGGGGGTACAGTCAACAGCATCACCCTCAATCCACCCAGAGCAGCGTCCGGGTGGGCGACCCTGGGACCGAGCACAGATTGCCGCCTCAGCTACGGCCTAGGTGTTTGGTGCTAACCTGCCTCCCTCCCTCCTAGATGGCAGACTGTGGTGGCCTCCCTCAGATCTCTCAGGTGAGTGGAACTGTGGCTTTCAGCACCCGTCACCTCCCACTGGTGGGGTGCATGTGCCTTTGTGTCCTAAGGGCTTTCTTTCCCCTACTTCCCCTGTGTGGAAGCCAATGGTAGTTTATGCATATCTTCTTCGTAAAATATGCTTGTGGATGTTGAGGATTTGCTAGATCCCTGCCAAGCAGCTTTTGGGGGATTGGGTGACCCGGAGGGCCACAGGCTTATGAGATTTGCCAGATGGACATGGTGTGGCCACGGGGTCAGGCTCATGGCTGTCAGGACATTGGGATCTCAAGCCCAGAACAGAGGGACAGAGAGGCTATGGCACCAAATGTGTGTATAGGCATATTCCTGTGTGTGTGTGTATATATATAGATGTATGTATATATATATATGTATACATATATGTAATTGTCTATATATGCATGTGTGCATGCATGTATGTACATGTATATATGCATGTATGTATCCATATATATATATGCATGTGTGTATATGTATATGTATGCATGTGTGTATATGTATTTATATATGCATGTATGTATATGTATATATGCATGTGTGTATGCATGTGTGTATGTGTATATATATGCATGTATGTATGTGTATATATATGCATGTGTGTATATGTATATATGCATGAATGTATATGTAAATATGCATGCACGTATGTATGTACGCACGCACACATGAGAGCTGTAATGTGTACCCTTGCCCTTCCCTCCATCTCTCTACCCCTGCACCCTTCCCGTCATTTCTCCATCCTCCCTCCTTCCTTTCTGCTCTTTCTTCTCTTCACTGCCGTTCCCCCATCACTGTCCTTCCTACTCACCCCACCATCCTTCCGTCAACCCGGTGTGAACCTCAGCACAGAGTTCCTGGTGTGCAGGGACTGGTTCGCCCATGTGACCCGCTGACTGCTTCCGGTCTTTAGGTGTAGACAGCCTCCACTCTCTCTGCTCATCGTCTATGCCGTGTGCACACAGGAGCCTGGCTCTGTCAGGCTGGTATCAGGTTTCCAGTTCTGCAGAGTCCCTAGAGGCCAGGTGGCTCATGGCACTGGACTTGGAGCACAGAGCGTGACTTGGCCCTATATGCAGTTGAGGATATGACCCGGAAAGTGCCGTAACTTAGCCGTGAGGCAGGTTGGGAGATTTTTGCTCCTAGGCAAAGCTGACTCTGGTCCCCATAGCCATCCCTTGGTTCTTTGGCTTCTATGCTCTTCCTGCCGTATGTGGTGACTCCATCTTGGGCGCAGCTCTGGTTTACAGGTGCAGGTGACCCATGGTGATCTGGACCTCTAATTGACCTCATATTCTGTCTGTCTGTCTCTTTCTCCTACAGCCCGCCAAGCTTGCTGAGGCCTTCAAGTACTTTGTGCAGGGCATGGGATACAGTGAGTATGACACCTTGGGCACCAGGCAGATGTGGGGTGGTAATGTCACAGCAGTCAGTGAGGAGCAGGAGAGGGCCCGCCTGTCATCTTGGTTGGCTTTAGCTCATAAGCACTGGGCAAGGAGTAATGACAGCCACGTGTGGCTGAATGAGGAGTGAATCAGCAGCTGCTTTGTTTATCACACAGCATGCTGACTCATGATGGCATCTCTGAGTCGTGTGGTCTCAGAAGACCTCATCTCTTCTAAATGAGATGCCGTTATGTTTGCATGAACGAAAGACCTGACATGTATTTAGTTTACCTGAGAGCCATTTAAAGATTATTTGGGACAGGGGTGAGACAAGAGTATCTATCGGTCAGGCTGGTCTTGAAATTTGTAACAATCTTCCTGCTCACTTTCCCATGTGCTAGGACTACGGGACAGGAATTATACTAGGCTAGAGCTGTCCCTTTAAACACTTCCCCCACCCCTAAAAAAATAATTAATGACCAACAGCTAAACAAGGAATGCCCCTAATTTTGATCACACCCTTGCTTAAGAGACCAGACTTGTAGCAAAGGAGGGAAGTCTTTTTTGTTTCCCCCTTTAGCCAGCATAATAATCCTACAAGGGAGGGGCTGAGCAGGCCACAGGGATATCTGTGGAAGGCAGGGGAAACCAGGGAGACCAGAGTGCATGAGCCCAAAGGCAAAATGCTTCAAGCTTAGAGTGAGTTTGTCACTCAGCAGCCTCTTTTCTCAGAAATGCTAAGCTGTGACCAGGGCCCCCACGTTCAGCCGGCCAGTAGCCTTGACTGACACCGGTTGACTGACATGTTAGTTGCGACTCTGGCCCAAAGCCGTCCACTGAGTTCTTCCTGCCTGCTGCTTGGAGTCACTGTCCATGCATCCTTCTTAGCTGTTTCTTCCCTGCGCTATAAACGCGTTTCGAGACGGATGGGCCTATTTGGTGAAGAACTACAGTTTCCCAGCAAGCTAGAGCGAGGCAGCCGGATGGGAGTGCCTCAGACAAGGTCCCCATGGCTAGCTGGCCCTCCCCAGCAGAACATCTGCCTGTGGACTTCCCTTCACCCAGCCTGCTTTCCCCGGTGGAAATGGGAGAAAACTGCTGGGCAGTCCAGTTTCCCTTGCTGGGAGTGGATCACAGCCCCTGTGCTGTGTGTTCTGGGAGGAAAAGACTAGGCCTTGGCTGTCCCCAAATTCGCCTCACTTCTGTCCCCCAGACCAGTCTGGCAAAGCTTCCCATAGACCTTGGAGAAATAAGAGGAAGAGTCACAGGCCTAAAGGCGTTGCCCAGGGGGATGTTCCAGCTCACAGAGTGTCTGCCTGTGAGGCTGGGCTCCCGGGACTAGTCCATTGTGCGTCTGCTGTCACGGGAAGTTGCCATTTCCTGGTGAGGTCATCAGGACCCACGGATTTCGGCGGAGAGCCACAGATGTGCGCTGACCCCCAAATCTTTCTGAATTAAAAATAGGCTGCTAGTTATGTGGTGGGACAGCCCTGTCATCTCAGCACGTGGGACGCAGAGGTGGAGGGTCATGTGTTCAAGGTCATCTCAACCACACAGAGAGTTGGAGGCCAGCCTGGGAGAGAGGGGGAAAGGGAACCAGCAGCACCGGCACCACTTGCTCTTTTTTTTTTTTTTTTTTTGGTTTTACGAGACAGGGTTTCTCTGTATTGTTTCGGAGGCTGTCGGTCCAGCCTAGCCTCGAACTCACAGAGATCCGCCTGCCTCTGCCTCTCTGTATTGTTTCGGAGGCTGTCGGTCCAGCCTAGCCTCGAACTCACAGAGATCCACCTGCCTCTGCCTCCCGAGTGCTGGGATTAAAGGCGTGCGCCACCACCGCCCGGCACCACTTGCTCTTTAAGGAGAGGAGTCCACTGGGCAATGGCTAATCCAATTTTGGGTGTCTGCTCTAGGGCACTGCTTCATTGGGGTGTGACCTTAGTCACCCCCAATGAGTACCCTAAGAGATTCCCCCATAGAGGGCACTTAAATATCAGGAATGCATTTCGCCACAAGTTCAGAGGCTGCCGGGCTGAGGTCAAGGCGTGGGCAGGGATGGGCTCACTTGGTGCAGACTCTAGCCTTTCTGGCCTCCGTGTTCTCCTGCCTACTTACTTACAATATACTGCAGAGGAGGTTGCACGATCCTACGAAGGTCTTCGTGTTGCAGACAACACTCCAGCAGCCACCCAGCTAAATAAGCACCTAACAAGCGGTGGCCCAGACCCAGATAATGGCCCAGGTCTCTTGCCATGTGCTCGTTATGCGCCTTTCCCACACCTAGGCCTTACTGTCCCTTTTGTGAGTAACACAGAAGGTGGATGTCCCAAGGATGAAGACAATAGGGAAAGGGTGCTCACCTGGGTTCCTAGGGAGACAGGGGAGTTGCCCTACACAGGAAGAGGCTCCCCGTATCCTAACCACATTGTCTTCTGTGTTCCCAGTGCCGTCTGCCAGCATGACCCGCCTGATGCGCTCCCGCACAGCCTCGGGCTCCAGCGTCACCTCCCTGGAGGGCCCCCGCAGCCGCTCTCACACCAGCGAGGGTCCCCGCAGCCGCTCCCACACCAGCGAGGGCCCCCGCAGCCGCTCCCACACCAGCGAGGATGCGCGTCTCAACATCACCCCCAACTCTGGTGCCACCGGGAACAGTACGGGGCCCAAGTCCATGGAGGTGTCCTGCTAGGCAGTGTGTGCATCAGTCAGTCATCCCGGGCTGGTGATCTCTCCCTCAGCCCCCAACCCCTGCCTGCCACCCTGCGCTAACGCGGTATTAATCTAAACCTGCTTTTTGTAAGAATGAACGCTGGCGGTGGCAGAGCCAAGTTGTTCAGGCTGCCTCCTGGGACCAGAGCGGGTGGTGGCAAGAAGCAGATCAGAGTTCCGTTCTGCTAACAAGTGGCCTGGTGGCCGTTCTCTCTACCCTCAGACGCCAGACTGCCACAACTAAGAAACATACAGCTGTAACACTGCCTGGCTCCAAGCCTAGGTTGATCCAAGCCGGCATTTTGCCAGCCCCCCCCCCCTGCTTCCTGTTTCCTCTCCCACTAAACCCATTCCTGGAAACAAACTTATTTCTGATTTGAAAGGGGGAGCGAGGCAGGGAAGTTGGGCGCCTTATTTTAAGAAGGGAAAACAAGACAGGGAGTCAAAGAGGCAGGGTCCTAGGCCAGGTAGAAGAAAGCCAAGTCCACAGTTCACTTGAAGGGACTGGTTTGAAAAGTTCTGGATGCTGAAACCCACAGCCTGTTTTTTCTTTTCTGACAACCTTTTAACATGTGAGGGAGAGACTGCCAACCAACTCCAGGCTCTGTAAAGAAAGTCATCCCACAAATACTGGTTCCTGTCTCCCATCCCAGAGTGTGAATGAGAGGGTGATACCTTTGTTCCTGGGGCAGATGGTTTTGATTTGTAGTTGCATTCTTCGAGACAGAGAACTCAACAGGTGGCAAGTGGTCCTTGTCTGTGAGTCTCTAGGCAGGGGAAGGGGTGGCGATGTCGTAGGCGATGGGATTGGATGACTAGGATCCCATGGGTGTGATTTCAGTAAGCACCAGCCCGTGACCTGGAATCTCGTGGGATTGAGTCAAACCCATTTTTGACATCTGGGGCTTGGCTCTAAGCTTGATAGCTAAATGTCGCATTGCTGGTGGGGGATGGGCTGAGGAGGTGGTTTCGGAATCCGTACATTCCATGGGAACTCGCTTCCCTCCCCTCCTGCCCCCTCCTCCTGCCCCTCCTGCTGACTGCGTTGGCAGCAGTGCAAGCCTAATGCCCACACCCTGTACTACTGCCCTGAGATTCTCAGTGTGGCTAACCTTGGGAATGTGATCAGATCAGACACGCTTGACTCTCGAGGCCTGGCGAGTTCCAGGCCCTTAGAGTTGCTAGAGAAAGGTCCCTCATGCCCCATAGGCGGCACGAGGGGCAAGGACTCGGTTCACCCACCAACTCCTACCATGGAGGCTTCCGCCGACCTTGCGTGGAAAGATCAGGGATCCAGACCAGGGTGCCTGAATGCGGACAAGAAATCAGTGTACACGTCTTTCCAGGGCAGTTTCTTAACGAGATGTTTGTATTTATTTCCAGACCAATAAATTTGTAACTTTGCAGTGGCTTGTGTCTTTTCCTTTCCCTGCGAGGGTGTGTGTGATGTTGTGGAACAGGGAGGGGCGGAGCTTTACACCCGAGCTCCTGCTGTGGGCCCCTCACTGTTCTTTGCCACAGATGGTTCTGACCAGTACAAATGGCACTGTCACATGGGTTTCTAAACCTTTGGGTAACAATACTGAAGAAAGAGACAGGTGAAGGTAATTTAAATATCGCGTCCTTTAACCCAATGTATCTACACTGTCACCATTTCTGTGCAAAGTGCCAGACACATCTTTTTTTCTGTATTAAAAGAACACACTGCTCAGTCAGCCTCACCACACACAAGGCATCCAACTGCAGGTCACTGCGGTGATGAGAACACGTTCCAACCTGGAAGAAGAGGGAAGCATTTGGGTAAAAGACAACTGTTCTCCTATCCCACGGGAGATGTTTGCTCTGTGTGTATGTGTTGTAGCATGCTGCGTTTATGTGCACCTGTGGCCGCTAGAGGTTGACACTGGGTATCTTCCTGTCTTGCTCTCCATCTTACGGTTTTTGAGATAGTCTCCCACTGAACCTGGAGCTCACCATGTAAGCTGAGTTGGCCACAAACCCCAGGCACTTGTCTTGCCACACCAGCATCAGGCTCAGGAAATGACTTGGTGGCGAACTGCTTGCTGGATACCAGTGGAGACCCAGAGCTTGCATCTTAAAAGAGAAAGTTGTTAACGGGGTTTAACATAATTCCTCATTGTATCAAGCATTTTGCAATTATCTCCCTTTTTAAAAATTTTTTGGTTTTTCGAGACAGGGTTTCTCTGTGGCTTTGGAGGCTGTCCTGGAACTAGCTCTGTAGACCAGGCTGACCTCAAACTCACAGAGATCCTCCTGCCTCTGCCTCCTGAGTACTGGGATTAAAAGCGTGTGCCACCACCGTCCGCTTGTATCTCTCTCTCTTTCTCTGTCTCTCTCTCTCTCTCTTGTTTTTTTGAGACAGGGTTTCTCTGTATTGTTTTGGAGGCTGTCTTGGAACTCACTCTGTAGACCAGGCTGGCCTGGAACTCACAGAGATCCGCTTGCCTCTGCCTCCCGAGTGCTGGAATTAAAGGCGTGCGCCACCAACGCCCATTTGTAACTCGCTTAAAAACCTATAGGACACCTGTAGTTGGTTTCAGTCAGTTTTTTGTGGCCATGACAGGATCCCAGGAGGGTTTATCTCAGCCCGCAGTTTTAGAGTTCAGTCTGGTTAACCGGCTATCACAGTGGCCTGACGGTTCAGAAATCATGGTAGCAGCACTGTGGAAGAGAAAGCTGTCACATAGTGGCAGTCAGGAGGCAAAGAGCAAGAGGCCGGGACTATAAATACCCAGAAGGACGGACCTGAAAACCACTTTTATTTTCCAGTCAGGCCCTGCTTTCCATGACTCACCACCTCCCCATGGTCCACTCGGTTCTGAATCCCCTGATGGATTAGCCCCAGTCGGGATCAGTGCCCTCCTAATGCAGCTGTGTTTCTGAGTGTTCACCCAGGGCTAAGTCTACAGTGTGGGAGGCTTTTTTTTTGAAGGGGGTCAATTATATGCAAACCATTGCAAATCACTCCAGAGACTCCCCATCACAGCCCCTGGGGCCTGCCACTAAAAGACCAACACCAATGCTTCACTGTTCACCAGGTTCTGACAGGAGCAGGACAACACCAGTTCTCTTAACGTCCCCTCTGTGTCCCAGAACGCCTCGTGACAGAACTCTGCGTCTTAGTTTATTATCGTCTGCACCCATTTTGCAGGTCTTTCCTACGTGAGCATTAAGTATCCGCGTGAAGGGCACTTGCTTGAGATCCGTGTAGGCTTTTTCTGGGCTGGAGGACGGCCACGGAAACCGATGCCCTTGTTGGGCAGATGCACAGCTGTGCTCTTGGAGTCTTCAGGACGGTCTCTGTGCTGCTGCTGTGGTTTGCTTATTTATTGAGACATGTCCTGGAGTTTATCAAGTAGGCTAGGCTGACTGATTGTCCTATCTCTACCCCCACAGCACTGGGGATTGCAAGCATGCACCACCATGCCTGGCTTTCTAGAAAAGTGTTTTATACATGAGCACGTGTTTGTCTGGATGCCAATCTGCACTGCATGTGTGCCTGGTGCGTGTGGAGGCCAGAAGAGGGTGTCGGATTCTGGGAACTGGAGTTACAGATGGTGTGAGCCACCATGTAGGTGCATCAAGTCGAACTGGAGGAACAGTCAGTGTTCTTAACCACTGAGCTGTTTTGTGGTACTTGGGTGCTCTCTCTCTCTCTCTCTCTCTCTCTCTCTCTCTCTCTCTCTCTCTGTGTGTGTGTGTGTGTGTGTGTGTACACACATGTATCTGCACTTGTGTAAGTCTCAGGGCAATATCAAGTGTCTTCCCTGCTTTCTCTTCATCTTACATTTTGAGACAAGGTCTCTCACTGAACCAGGGACTCATCAATCCAGCGGCACAGGCTTCACAATTAGACATAGGCATCTGCCTTTCCTCACTCTCTCAGCCCTGAGATTACTTTCTTGACCATTTTTTGCTAGTTTGTTGTTTTAGTTATTAACGTGGGCCCTGGACCCCTTGAATTCAGGTCCTCGCACTTGCGGGGAAAGCACTCTACTGACTAAGTCGTCTTCCAGCCCTTTTTAAATAAGGTCCAGCTTGCCTAACCCAGTCAACTCTGGGCTCACGTTATTCCTTTGCACCCCACGATGCAGCAGGTGCTCTGTGGTGGCCTGTATGAGAATGGCCCTCACAGCCGCACCTGTTTGAATGCTTGGCCTCTCTTGGTCTCAGAAGGATTAGAAGGTGTGGCCTGTTGAATGAGGTGTGTTACTGCGCATAGACTTTGAGGTTTCTATTGAACTGGAAACCTACTGGTTTCTGTCTCTCTCTCTCTCTCTCTCTCTCTCTCTCTCTCTCTCTCTCTCTCTCTCTCTCTCTGTCTCTCTCTGCTTGTGCTTGAGGATCTAGGTCTAGAAAGCTCTCAGCTACTGCTCCAATGCCATCCTGCCTGCTGTCATGCTCCCCGCCATTGTGGTCATGGACTCTAACCCTCTGAAACTGTAACCCTCAAATTAAATGCTTTCCTTTAGGAGTTGCCTTGGTCATGATCTTTGTTTTTTTTTTTTCTGAGAAAGGGTTTCTCTGTGGTTTTGAAGCCTGTCCTGAAGCTCATTCTTGTACACTAGGCTAGCCTCGAACTCACAGAGATCCACCTGCCCCCGCCTCCCAAGTGCTGGGATTAAAGGCGTGGGCCACCACCGCCAGGCAGGTCATTTTTTTTTTATTACAGCAATAGAACAGCAACTGAGACAAGCCCCAAGGAATCAGTGCAGTGGAGCTGATGCATTTACAGTGACATCATCTACTGACCGCCAAGTCCATGGGTACAAAGCCCATTGCCACTCATCCCTGCTCTGAGAAGTGGTCCCGGCATGCCCAGCATTCCTAGGAGGCAAAGAACTTTGCAGATATGGAGTATGCAGGCGCACACAATATGTTACTTTGTTGCCCTGCTCACTAACTACTGACTTCCTTCTAAAAAGAATTTGCATTACCTTTATTTAGTGTGTGTTTGTGTGTGTACAGCTGTGCACGTGCTTAGAGGCTGGGGTCAGCATCAGACATCTTCCTCCATTGCTCCCCACCTTACTGCTCGAGGCAGAGTCCCACTGAACTTGGGACTCGTCAGTTTGGCTAGACCGGCTCCTGGGGAGTCTCCACTCCCCAAAAAGAGTAGTTTTCAAAACTCAGAGAGACTGAGAATTGACGAGGCATTCCAGTGTGTATAACTCCCGAGCACAGGACTGGCCCTCACCTGTCAATGCCTAGGGATAGGGGCACATCAGTTAGCTCCGGGAATCAACACCATGGCCTGGAAGGTTTTCACTGGTCCTTTGTTTTTCCATTAAATGTCTTTGTTTTCTTCCTTTAGATGGTCACATTCAAGCTTGTAAGATACCACAGCTTTGATGTGGTTTCGAGTTTCTCTCCCTTTCCTCTGCTGGCATTTCTTAATGCCATCAGTGAGGCTCCTTCCAGCAGCTCTCCCTCCCTTTTACTGAAATGGATGAAGAAATCCACTCTTTTTTTGTATTGCATAAAAGCCAGAGAAAGGAGGCTTAGGGTGAAGAGCCTGAGGTGTGTCATGCAGAGAGTACCACAGCGTCTCCTTCAAACCCATGTCTGAGCAGCTCTATGGTAGAGACAGCCCCAATTAAAGCAGGAAAGGGATTTCTAGATAAGGTGTGACTAAAGTGTGAATAGGTGGATGATGCTGACAGACAGATATATATATACATATATAAATATATATATCTACATACATACATAGATGGTAGACAGATGAGTGATAGATGATAGACAGGAAAATAAGTGATAGATAATAGATGGATAGACAGATGATAGACAATTGGTAGATAGACGATATCTAGAGATAGATGACATATTTATGATTGATAGATAGATGGATAGTTAGATGAGTAAATAGATGATAGATGATTGGTATAATATAATACCTGGATATACATAGGTGACAGATTTATGATAGAGAATAGATTATAGATAATTGATAGATGATATCTAGAAACAGATGAGATTTAAGATAGATTGATTGATAGATAGATAGATAGACAGATGATAGATAGATAGATGGATAGATAGAGAGATAGATGATAGATAGATAGATAGATAGATGATAGATAGATAGATGGATAGATAGATAGATAGATAGATAGATAGATAGATAGATAGATAGATCTTTTTTTGAGATAGTCCTGCCCTGTTGCCCAGGCTGGCCTCAAGCAATCCTCTTGCCGTAGTCCACGGACAGGATTACAGGATCACCAGCCTGTCCTGCAACTACTTTATATGCATTTACACTTTCCTTCAGGTCCCGTTTCCTCCAACTTCAACCAGCTGCTATTGAGTAAATGTCGGCTCCTCTGAATCTGAGGCACCTACAGGACTCCAGGCCCCAGCTTCCAGCTGGTTTTAAATTTTACTTTATATTTTGGTTACTTTACAAACACAGGCTTCCCTGTAGGGCTTTCTTATGCACCTAGCCTCAGTCGTTTTTCTGCCTCCCCTCCCCCACCCCTTTTACTCTCTTCTCCCCCCCTCTGCTCTCCACTTCCATGTTGTGTGTGTCTATGACACTGGCAAATTCTCCCCATTAAAGCCATTTCCCCCTGGAATGGGCCTCTTTCCTGGAATCTATCTATACACGTCTATCCCCGCATATTAAAGCTCAGAAGCTAGACCCTTACACGAGAGAGAACACATAACATTTGTCTGTCTGAGGCTCAGTCGCTATGCTATTGTCCAGTTCCATCCATTACCCAGCAAATCACAGTGTTCCATTTTTCTTCACGGATAAGTAGTGCTCCTGTCCTACGTCCCTGCTTTCCCTTTCCATCCATCCCCTTATGCACATCTAGGCTGCTTCCATCCCCTGACTATTGTGAATGCAGCCAAAATGAGAGTGGACATGGTGACATCTGTGTGATAAGAAAAAAAAAAGCTGTGCTTGAGTCCAGAGGCGCTAACGGAAATACGCCACGCGGCTCTTCTCACCTGGAACTGGGTCTCCCCTTGGCCTGTGCTATGACATCACTTGCTCTGGGAGAGGTTGACTAGAAGGGACTGGAGAGGCGCTCACCTCACCCGTCAGAGCCTTCAGCGGCTGCTCACACGGCTAAGCCTACCACTGGCGAACCATGCTCAGTGCCGTCATACACTGACGTTTAGTCTTACTGTAGCCGCCCCGTCTGCAGGGAAACAGCTCAGCTAGTGTTTGTGTGAGTGCCGGTGGCGGCCATGCACAGGTGTGTGTGTGTGTGTGTGTGTGTGTGTGTGTCTCTGTGTGTCTCTGTGTGTGTGTCTGTGTGTGTGTGTCTCTGTTTGTGTGTCTGTGTGTGTCTCTGTGTGTGTGTCTCTGTGTGTGTGTCTCTGTGTGTGTGTCTGTGTGCGTGTGTGTCTCTGTGTGTGTATGTGTCTGTGTGTGTGTCTCTGTATGTGTGTGTGTGTCTGTGTGTGTGTGTCTGTGTCTGTGTGTGTGTCTGTGTCTGTATGTGTGTGTCTGTGAGTGTGTCTCTGTGTGTCTGTGTGTGCGTCTGTATGTGTGTCTGTGTGTGTGTCTCTGTTTGTGTGTCTGTGTGTGTGTCTCTGTGTGTGTGTCTCTGTGTGTGTGTCTGTGTGTGTGTCTCTGTATGTGTGTGTCTGTGTGTGTGTCTCTGTGTGTGTGTCTGTGTTTCTGTGTCTGTGTGTGTGTGTCTGTCTGTGTGTGTCTGTGTGTGTGTCTGTGTGTGTGTCTGTGTGTGTGTGTCTGTTTGTGTGTCTGTGTGTGTGTCTGTGTGTGTGTCTGTGTGTGTGTCTGTGTCTGTGTGTGTGTGTCTGTGTGTGTGTCTGTGTGTGTGTATCTGTGTGTGTGTCTGTGTCTGTGTGTGTGTCTGTGTGTGTGTCTGTGTGTGTGTCTGTGTGTGTGTCTGTGTGTCTGTGTCTGCGTGTGTGTCTGTGTCTATGTGTGTGTGTGTGTGTGTGTGTGTGTGTGTGTGTGTGTGTGTGTGCACGAGTGGGTGCATGCATGCCAAGGCCCAGTGTCAACCTCAGTTGTCATTCTTTGGTTATCACCCTCCTTGTTTTTCTTCTAGGCAGTCTTTCATTAGTTTGGCCTTTGCTGATTCAAGCTGGCTAACTACCCAGGGAGTCCCAGGGATCCACCTGTCTCTGTTTCCCAAGCACCTGTCACCACGGTCAGATTTTTTGTTTCTCATGTGGGATCTGGGGGGAATCGAACCTAGGTCCCTTAGGCTTTGAGTTAAACATCATACTTTTATGCTGCCCCCTCTATTTAAAAGTGGAGCAAGCAAGGTGCACTCTGTTCTCATTTTGTGAATTCCCCAGCTGGGAGACTGAGCTGAGACATCCCAGCTGAGTGCTAATGGCGGAACTGTTTCCATGACAACTTGCAGCCAGCTTTATGCTCCCCTGCGCTCCTTTTGGCACTGAGGACAGTACGCAGTAGATACTCTTGTCATTTCACCCTGACATGCTCCAGACACTGTGCTATGCTGTCACAGCCCTGACTTCAAGGTACCCCACATCTAGTGAAGACTATAGCAAGCTACCAAACCAGTGACTAAGCATGCGAATGATGGAGTGGAGGCTAAAATCCTTCTGCTTATCTTTAAGCTTGGGTACATTGGCGACTCTAGCTGTTGCAAAACAGTTTTCTCCAAAGATCAAAGCTTGTTAAGACCGAAGAAGCTCTAAGACAGGCTTGTTAAGCCTCAAAAATTTATAAAGACAGGCTTGTTCTTAAGGAAAAAAAATCCCAAGAGTCAACTCAGGATACTCAAAAAGTCCCTAAAACAGACCAGCAACATAAGCCCTCAAGGCTGTGAAAATAGTAAGAACTACTAAGGAAACAAAGGCCAATTGAACTACCTAAAACAGAAGGATCAGCAGGGCTGTTTAAAGACAGATAGGCTGAGTTGCCCTAGAGAGACACTCTGACCTGTTGAGCAGCCTTCAAGTCATACCGTGAGCTGGGAAATTCCAGCTTCCCTTGCTGGGTGCGTTTTCTGTGGTGCAATGGCCCTTGATTTATATGTACTCCCGTGGTAACTTCCCATCTAGACTCCTGTAAGTAGCTCCAATAAAACGCCGAGGTTCACCAATGCAGACTTCAGTGCTATCCCGTTGGTCTACCCTGGGCTCCCTATCTAGGGTGAGGAGATGTTTCTTCATGTCTCTTCAGGAATAGTGTCTGAGTTTCAGAATCTATGTTTCCAGGCTCAAGCATTTAAGTTATTTTTTTATTCTCTCCTATCCAATATCTGGGACTTAATTTCTCCAGCCTGCACATTGGTGGAACATGCCCAGTCCTCTATCATGCCGCCTAACAACAGAAACTACAAGAAAAAAACAATCAAAGAAGTCACTTTTGCTGATGATTTATTGCTTTAAGGAGAAAAGCTGTAAACAAAGAATTTGAACAATGAAAACTCATCATAGTGAACAAACACATTCCCTATTACACAAATCAGGAGAAAAATGAGGTGTGGTAGACCGTGGCAGGCTGCCCAAGGGCTGTTTGTCCTCTGTTGGGAAATCTCAAGACATTTCTTTATGTGTATTCACTTACACAATGGCAATAGGAATATTTAAATACTCACAGTTTGAAAATAGACACACACACACACAGACACACACACACCCCTATACAGAAACACACAACTACCCATGGCCATTTCGGCTTCCCAGCCATTTAGGGCTGTCACTGCGGCTCCTCTGAGTCAAAATCAAGTCTCTAAAAAGAAACGACAGAAGACAACACCAGCCAGAGGTTGTAATCCCTCTCTGCAATCTCCACTCATGCACAGTCCAAAATTAATTAGGGTGATTACAGACAATCGTATCATTTGAAATTACTTTCTTTGATCAATCAATCACCCTCAACCTTAGAATTTCTGCACCGGGGTCTGTGAGCCACCACTTGTGACTCTGGAGCCTTTGGCTGAGGACAGGCAAGCAAGTGGTCTGAGTGACACGACAGACGTCATGGGTGTCACATGATCCTGGGCTTTGGAGCTTGTCTACTATGCCCTGTTTGGTAAGAACTTGAGCAAATCACTTAACTCCTGGAGACCTTGCTGTGTCAGCCTGGAAATGGGCAGTGGTAATGCCATAACTCGTGGGCTCACTGGAAGGATTAAGTGGGCTATGTCAGCGAAGCATGGAGTATCAGTCTTGGTTGATGCATATTCAGGGCTCTCCAAATGTTAATTGAAGGTTTAGTAAGTTGCTGGCTCATGAGCCCCAGATACTCTCTCTCTCTCTCTCTCTCTCTCTCTCTCTCTCTCTCTCTCTCTCTCTCTCTCTCTCAAACACACCCAAGAAATTCAGAAATTCAGTCTTGGTGCCACAGTGAATTTCTTTGCAAAAGGTTAGCTCCCTCCCATTGCTGCATTTTCTTTGTGTCTAAGCACTGGGGGGGGGAGGTGTCTAAAGCCTTGCTTTTGCGTGACTCCAGTAACAGTTGCTTCGGTTCTGTCTAGCTCTCCTCTGGTGGTAGAGCAGGTAAGCGTAAGTTCCGAGCTTCAGAGTTTCTATTTATCAAATGGAGAAAGGTTGTGTACTGAACATAGCTCTGCTAATTGATAACCTGATAAAAATGCACCACTGTGCTTAGCACCAAATAAGCTATCAATAAATGGACTTTGGCTTTCTTAACTGTAATTGCTATCCTTCCCTTTCCTGGAAACAGGCCACACCACTACAGTCTGGTTTTGACTGCTCAGAAGAATTTCTTCCTATTGCATTCATTTCTTCTTCTCTGGGACTTCAGTTCTTGGTTCTAAAGCGGTTCTTCAGATCCCGATGCAGGCCAGGTCCATTTCTCAAAACCAGTGACAGCTGAGTCACTTTGGCCATAAGTCCTTCCTATTCCCACGGCTGACCACTCTGACTCCTCTACCGGAGCCTCCTTTGGTCAAAGATGCTCTGTTCAGTTCTCCCAAAGAAGGATGGATACTTGGTGAGACTCTAGCTTATGGAAGTTCTTTGAGAGCTAGATGTTAAAAATAGGCTTTTCCAATCAATCCACAAAAAAAAAAAACACCTTACACAAGTGATAATCCCCAGGAGTAACACATCTTTACATGAGAGCTCGTGTACACATAGGAACATACATTTATTCAAAGCACTAAGCCTCCTTTAATGGAGGATTCTCACTGGTAGGAAGAGATCCTGGAAAAAGGATGCTTCTAAGGAAACGTAGGAGTGTATACATAATGTGTTTTCTACCTAAAATACATCTCGAGCACTGCTTTTCGCCTTGCACAAGGCCAGGATTTTGGGAGCTTACCGGAAGGAGGGGAAATCACGAGTATAGTCCTCCCCCAGGCCTCTGTCCACCACCACACGCGTGGTGCTGGGCAAACAGAACCATCTTAGAAATTCATGCCGTGAGCTGGGAGGAGTCACCGGGAATTCACATGCCTTTTCCTGTCCCATTTAGTTTGGATGCTTAATACGCAAACACCCGCCTCTTATGGGAAAGGAGCTAGAGAGACAGCATTAAGAGGCCAGACTGAGAAGTTGCCCATTCAGCCTGCTTTCCTATCCTGACGTGTTTGGAAGGCCCAGCAGCAGAGAGGCAGTACGGATTACGAAGTTAATCTGTCTGGGGTGTGACTCTCCAGATGGGTGACTCCGGTTGAGTTTCTTCTTTGGGCTTCCATTTCACAGTTTCAAGGACAGAAATGATGGAGTAGACTCCTTGACGTTGTCACAAAGCTTCAATGCGCAAATGTGTGGCAAATATTGAGAGTAACGGGGAGCCCATAGGACATACCCATTAAAGGAATGATGACAGAAACTCTTACATTCTACTGCTAAACAATAGACTCATCACTTAGGAGAAATCTTTTTCTTCAACTTACAAACTCTTTGGGTTTTTTTTTATCTCGGTTGAATAGATTTCCATTTCTAAACAGCTGGTCAACTTCTATCTTCAGACTAGAAAACTGAGCCATTTTGCTCCGCAGCTACTTAAGCTATGAAATAGACCCCTAAAGCAAAAGAGATGTATCCCGAGCCCAGGGGTTATCTTGGCCTCACCACTCCTGCCAGAGGCCACCCAGGCCAGTGAAGGATGACCTACATATTTGTGTGACACAAATCCTGCTACATGCGGTCTGGACTTGAAAAGAACCTTCCAAGGTTCATGAGGGCATCTTCCCACCACCCAATGGTTCCAGGGTGTTTTTGAGACTACAGACAGGCTACCCCCACGTCCCTACCAACTCCCAGGAGCCCCAGGGCAAGGGAGGTCCAGGTGTTAGAAAGAGCTGGCTAATTGCCCTAAGAACTTGGTATGCAGCAGATTCAGCGAACTTATCAACTATGACTTGTGAGACTGGCTGGCCTTGTCCCATCTCTACAGGATGGACTGTGACTTGCCACCTACCAGCCAGAAATAAAATAAGAATAAATAAAATTTCTCAAATTACATTTCCAATCAACATGAACCCAACTGAGCCCTTCACGATGCAGGAAGAAGAGAAATGTGTCCTCAGTTATTCCCAGATTAATGGAAATGACTTTCTATTGCAAAGAAAAAATGGCACCACCGTCGACGTCACCTGGAAAATGTTCAGTGACCTCGTGGTACAGAGATCTTTGGAACGAGAGCACTTTTGGTGTGTTGTGGGCAGAAATGCCCATGATAGTATCGTTTAGCAAGGCCCAAACAATAGCTTATTCTTGTATCCCTGGTCCCATCCATCTGTCTGAGAGGACCCTGGTGTCACAAGTTTGGCATCTGATAAAAGAGTCTGTGATAGTGGCTTTTCAGTGGATTCTATCCCTTGTGCAGCCCCATCAGGATTTCTGACAACTTGAGCAGGCTCGGGCCAGACAGGCTGAGTCAGGCTTGGGATTCCTCTTGAACAGTCCAAAATGTGTTTTCTTTGGAGTGATATAGAATATCCCCAAGAAAGGATGCCTAGTCTGGGCCTGAGCAGCATCCTCCTGGGCCATCGGGATGGTCGGAGTAGCAACAGAGACCGAGAGTCAGGATCAGGGAATTCAGAATTGAGGAGGAAGGGGATGAGATAAGGCTCAACCGTGAAGTCCTGGGCCACAGAGGGCTGGCTGTTCTGCAAACATGGAGCTTTGCCCCGAGCCACACGACTACCTAATTGACAATCTCTGAAAAGTCAGGGTAAGATTCCAAGTCAGCAAAGATATCATTTGGATTCCTACAGCTCAGGTTGCAGAAGCAAGCGTTGATCCACAGGACCTGACGGGAGAAAGCCGGCCCCTCTGGACACTGGAAAGTGACACTGATGGTCTTGGACTTGTAGGGGACACAGCATCTGTTGTCAGTGCAGACTCCACAATACTTGGGTCGGTAGGTGCGTGTGCTGACGCAGCCTGCGAGAGTGAAGTTTGTGGGCTCCTCCGGCTGGTACACCGCCAGACACTTCTTCCCGGCCTTCGGGAAAGGAAAGGGGCCTTCCGTTAGTATGCTCCATTAGTATGCACGGCCCCTTGTCCCCTCCAAGCATCCGGTCCTCCCCTTCCCATGGCAAGCATCACCTTCGCTCCAGATTCGCAGCACCTTCGAGCAAGGAAGGACATCGGCAGACACAGCGAGGCCTGACCACACGGCACAGGTAAACCGCAGGCTGCGGAAGGGCGTTTCCATGCTGTGCTCAGATCTCACAGCCTGCAGTCTCCCTTCTCTCCTGCTGTTTTACCTTTCTGGCGTCCATGTCAATGTTGCCAGCGCAGGAAGCCTTGGACCTCGTTTAGCTAACCAAGCTTCCCAAGTAGCGAGTGGATGAGCTGGCATGGAACTCCATGACCAGGCAGGGCATTTTGCCCTCACCTGTCCCCTCTAATCCAATGCCTCTCTCTGTCTCTGTCTCTGTCTCTGTCTCTGTCTCTGTCTCTGTCTCTCCCTCTCTCTCTCTCACACACACACACTATTATCATGTAGCATTTTCAACAGCACTAACATTACTTAAATACAATTAGAGCCATCCACAAGGCCACAGGCTCCTTGACACTTGGGCCCTTTCTATAACTCACTAATATAATTGTGAAGCTGGCACACAGTAGGTACTTACTAAATGCCTTGAGCTAGTATTTCTTAGGGTATATTATCAGCACCACGTCAGAGCTGGGGGCAGAGCACATCCACAGTGGGTGGGAGCATGTAGCTTATCCAGTTGGGACAACCCAGCTAGGGTAGATGGTCATGGAGATAGGAGAGGAATCACGAACCTATGGTGAAGGGCCCAGCGTTGGGACAAGTTTTCTTAGAACAGATTAGGGCCCTAATTCTTATTTCTCCCCGTCTTAGGCCCCTCCCACCCCTACTTCCAATCGGAAGGCATTCAATGAGGACCCGATGGCACCCAGGGTTGGCATAGCAGAGGGAGAGAAGAAGAAAAGTATATGTCTGCCAAAGACAAGATGCTCTTAACAGGGAGCAAGCCCGTGCCTGGAGATGATGGTGGGAAGAGGGGTTCTCTTCTCTATTTATCCTTCTCTCGGCATCCAGAGAACCTACCCTGCTTCATTCATGGATCCAGGGATGAGCCCTGAGAAGTTTACTTTGTTAGATGTGATGTTGGGTGGGCCAGCACTAAGGTGTGAGTGAGGGGGGATTGAGTTAGACAAGGAAGACCATGCCTAAGTCCTAGGGCTGGACTCAGCCTTTTGCAGCTTCTCAGAGAGGTCCTTGAGGCTGCGCGAAGGAACTCAGAGATGACCACCAAGGTTAGACTCATGGGAAAGGGCCTGGAGTTTGACGGTAGCAGGAGACTTCTGAGAGCAGCAAACACTAACAGGAGAGGGGTGTTTGGCCCCGTGTGTTTCAAGTTCTAGCAATCTTCACACGTGCAGGCGGGTGCGGGATGCCGTGGGAATCAAAGTTGGTACAGGTCCCTCGGAATCACTACCGAAAGAACACGTTGGGTGGTTCCTGAATTCTCCCTGGAGTGACCTTGCTTCTGATAGGATGGGAACCACAAAGGCATCCATTGAGTGAAATCCATCGTGGGCCAGCCATGCAGTCACGTCAACCTAAATCACTTGCCCCGGGCCTGCCAGACAGACTTCGTTATTTCCATCTTATGAGTGACTCCCAACAAGTTCAGTGGCCAGGCTCGGAGCCAGCTGTAGCTACGCACACTCATCACGCCCACACCTGCCCAAGATGCCTATCCTTGCTTCGGACTTACCCTGATGTGTGAATGGATGTCCACGTCACAAGGCCGCAGGTTGCAGAGGCGACTTTCCTGCTCTGGCCAGCAGCGGGCATTGACGTTAGAGATCCGAGTTGAGATTCCTAGGCCACAGGTGGTTGAGCAAGGACTCCAGGGGCTAGTGTAAGCTATGCAGTTCCCGTGCGGTTGTTCCACTGTGCCCGAAGCTGCTGAAGAGGGACGCCAGAGTACCCATGAGTCTGAGACCCCCACAAGCTCCAACTGATCCCGCCATCACCATGCCCCAAGAGTTTAGGCTTCTCCTCAGAAAGAGGCAGAGACAAACAGATATGTGGAAGCCTAGGCAAAGACGCAGAGATAGACAGACAGAATCGGGCTGTTCCTCCCCACAGGGAGGCAGAAAAACCGCTTTCTAATTGGCAGGTGCACCCAGGGAGGGGAGACTGTATCCTTACCCTTAACATTTTTTTCTGACCAAGGAATGAAGTGTGAAATCATGAAAGGAAATCCGTCTTTAAAACCAGGTGGTCCCCAGGTCAAATTCTTTTCTGTAATGGTCGATATTGACTGTCAACTTGATAGGGGCTAGACTCACCTAGGAGACAGACCTCTGGGCATGTCTGGCAAGGGTTTTTAAGCCTGGGTTCAGTGACGTGAGAAGGCCTGCCTTAACTCTGGGCATGGGCTGGGCTTCCGTACCAATTAAAAGGACAAAATAAGCTGGGCACTAGCCTTCATCTCTCTCTGCTTCCAGACTGCATGCCATGTGACCAGATGGGGCCTCATTCTCCCGTTGCCTTTTGTACTGTTATTTTCACTAAAGCGAGATTTGTTTTTATATTTATGTTTATTTGTGTGTGTCTGTGAATGCACCGGAACTCTCTGGTTTAGTGAGTCCTAGTGCAACCCAGCTGGTACGGGCACCTGACTGAAGTCCCATCGGACTGACTGTCTGCTCTTGACTGGTCCCGCGACCATGCAGTTCCCTAACATCTGATGACTTCCTGCTTAGCCAGGGGTGAGCAGGAGAGAGTGGCGAGCCACGGGAGGGGGGAGACAGGCAGGTGGCAGGCAGGACGAAACAGCCAGCAGAAAGATGGGGCGGACACAGAGAGAAATCCCACGGAAACAGGAAATCGGATGAAAAGAAGGGGGTGGTGGAAGAATGGACAGGGAGAGGACAAGAGTGAACACAGGCAAGGTTATCGCGGAATGGGGGGAGGAAGAGACGAAAGCCCCCCAAGCAGACGAGGAATCTACTTAGGGCAGCACAGAGCCCTTCACTCAGGCTCCGGAGCTTGCAGATGCGCAGCAGACAGCGCTGGTGAGAGACGCTGACATCTGGAAGGGAGGAAGTGACAGAGGCATCCAAGGACAGAGGCAGACAGTCTGGGATGAGCTGGCTGGGCGCATGCAGTAAATTAGGAGGGAGGGATTTGCCTGGCAGGATGAGAGGATAAAAGGCTTTGGTTTCTGGGTCTCCTCCACACCGCTGCAGGGCCTGTGTCTGGGATGGCTAAGAACTGGGTCACTGGGTCACACACCATGAGCAGGCAGCCTCTGCCTCCCCTCCTCCACCCAAGGACTCTTGTGCAGACATGCTGGAGGGAGGCTTAGTGGGAGGAGCTGCCAAGCTGTCCCGAGCTACCAGAGACCAAGCCTTCCCTGACACTGGCTCTCATCCAAGCCACACCGTTTCTCCACATGGGTGGCTTTGTCCCCTAGACACATTTGCTAATGCCTGGAGGTGTTTCGGATGCTCATAACTTGGGAAAGCGCTGCTGTCATCTGAAAGGACTGGCTGGGATGCCGCCACGCCTAGAACAACGATGCTGAATGCTGACGGCACCAAGGCCAAGACGCCAGGCTGCATGAGCTGAGCAAACTCGTATACGTAGAATTTCTCAAAACATTAGCAAGCAGCCTCCTCTCCTTTGGGGCCACCTGCCTCAGAGGTGATTTTCTCCAGTGACACCCTCCTTCTGTGATCCACTGTGTCAGTCTCTCCCAGCTTCTCCTCACCCCCAACCTCCACCATCCCTTCATCTCTGCATAGTCCCTGGCCCTCTCTTGTCTACTCCTCAAAGGCTGGTCTCCCTAGACCGCTGCCCCAGGCTCCTCCGTCTCAGTGTGTGGTGTGGTATTCCCAGGCCACATCAACAGCCACAGGCTGCTGTAAGTAGAGCCTACCAACTGTGGGGGCCCCCCTCTGTGAGGCCGTCCTCACCGGACATTTTTCCTCCTTCACCATCCCCAAACTCAGCCTGCTCATCCCAGATAGAAAACCATCACCCTAACTACGCTCCTTCTCTTGTGTTCCCGGCCCAGGAGCCACTCTGGATTCCTTCCGCTACCCCATGCACAGCACAGATGCCGGGCTCTGCAGTGTACTCCAGTACTGCTTCTTACCCTTGTCCTGTCCTCCTCCTGCCCCTCTGCCCTCGTTCAAGTGCCTACCTGTGCCCTTATCCACCATCATCCATCTATCTGTCCTTTATCAACCCATCTATGATCCATCCATTCGTCTGTCCACCCATCCATCCATCCGTCCGTCCGTCCATCCATCCATCCATCCATCCATCCATCCATCCATCCATCCACTTCCCTTCCATTCTCCAACCATTTCTTCTCTATGCATCTGTCCATAATGCATGTCTTGATGGTGCAGTGCGTGTGTGCGCATGCACACACACACACACACACACACACACACACACGCACACACTCCCACACACACACACACACACACACACTCCCACTTATCATCTATCTGCTATCTACTCACTAATCTTTTCAGCCACCTTATAGCCAAAATCTATATGGCAATCTTTGCAAACGTGAGCTGGGTACTTTCCAATATCTGGCAAGCACACTGAGCTCCCGTAGGCAATGGTGAAAAAAAACATGTTCCTGTCCCCTCTCCCAGGGCCTCCTTCTCTCAGGCTTATCTAGGCAAAGCCGCATCTTTTCTCCTGATGATAGCAATGGAACGAGTTATCTGGAAGGCCCATCTACTCCCTCCTAAGCCCTGCCATCTGATCCTCTCTCAAGGTTCCTAACCACGCTCTGGGATACTTTAGTAAGATACCAGAGGACTACATGTGTCATACCAAGGTTTTATGCTGCGAACAGCCCATAAAGCAGGCAGTAAAGATGATATACCATTTGCATCTTACAGATGGGGAATTTGGGTTCGGATAGCACATCCCCAGGACCATATAACCGGCGAGTTGTAGAGTGGGTAATGAATGACCTGGGGGATTGATTTATTAGAAGGAAATCAGGACTCCAGGGACCCTGTGGTATCTGGAGACTCCACTTGTCCGTGCCCACACTTACCGAAGGCTCTGGTGTCCAGCAGCGCGGTCTGGCGTGGCCGCCTGGCATCATCTTCACATACCCACTGCTCGCAGCACTGGCCAGGCACTCGCACGCGCCGGGGCTGTCGGCACCAGAGGCGCGGGGGCCTGGGGCTCAAGCACAGCGGCGTGCAGCCCACCGTGCCATCAATGCAGGTGCAGTTGTACCTGCAGTTGGGCCGGAAGGACTCGCCGTTGGCGTAGCGCACGCCATCCAGGACGCAGCCCACGCCGACCACCTCTGCAAACACAGGGGTAGACATGTCAGGCCAGGAGGCGTGGGCTCTGTGCCAAGATACTTCTGGGCGGCGTTCCCTCAGTGTAAGATGCCACGCCAAGAAATCACTGTGTGAGGAAGAAGGGGCTGCCCCATGTATCAGCAGGCTGCACCCCAAGGGCAAAGAGTGGGACACAACAGGGAGAAAGGGTATGGGGAAGGCCTTTTATGGCATCAGGGGACAGCCACTGAGGACTCTGCCGGATGCTGGGTGGGAGGGTCCAGCACCCTAGTGCAGGAGCTCAGGAAATTGTCATCCCTACCCTGTCCCCAGCACCAGGCCTGGTACTGACAGATGTCCATCCAAGGGAGAAAGGCACACACCGGAAACCAGAGCCTAGGAGTGAAGGGGCTTGTCTCCCTCGGTGCGGACTGTGGAGTCTGGCAGGAGCTGAGAACCCAATGCGGGACAGAGTGACAATGGTCTGGTCCTCGAGGGTCTCACTATGAGGTAGAAAGATGGGCCAGTGGTCATCTGGAGTATCTGTTGAGGGTGGCAGACACTCATGACAAGTGTTGGGGGAAGAGGGAGTGGGTGGTGAATGTGGACCTCGCCGTAGGCTGAGGACAAGTAGACTCGGAAGATCCATGGACGTGAGAGGGCTTCCTGCCTGCCTTCCACAAAGACTAGGAGGAGCGGGAGGCGGCCCAGGTGTTGATGAAGTCTTCCAGGTAGGGAGGGCATCTACTGCAGGTGTGTGAGGGCTACAAGAAGGAGCAGGCCTTGTGGGGAAGGGAAGCAGAAAGAGAGAAACAAAAGACCAGATACACCTTCCTCTCATCTCAGGGGAACATCTACAACTGTGTCTAGAACTCGTCCCGGCACACAGTAGAATAAGAAACTTGAATGAATGAGGTGAATTACGTATTTCACATAGTAGACAATGGGCTGTTATTGACAATAGGCTGGAGAGGGCCACAAGATAGCACTGGGGATAGCACCCCAGTGACCCAGGCAGAGGGCGGTGGCTTCTCAGACCAAAGCAGTGAGAAAGTTCAGCTTCCAGACACATTTTCAAGGAGAGCTGCAGACTGTCGGGAGTCAAAGAAGACTTCCAGAGCTCTGTACTCCGGCCCAGAGAGCAAGATCTTCCATCCTCTCTGGAGGAGTCGGGACTGGGGCAGGCTGGCTTCAAGTCTTTGTTAGACATGAGATTTGCCCGGTGGAGTTGGCTATATAGGTAGGCCTGTGGGTTCAGGGGACTGCTGGGTCAGATTCTACCTTGGCGCTGTGTGCTCCTTGGGGATAGCATCTGGAACTATACATAGAGGGTCCTGGGACAGCCATAATCCTACAGAGGAGAGCAGTTAGGAGTCTGCTGTAGCTCTGTCCTGCCCCCTGGATTGGTGGTGGTGGTGGCTGGTCATAAGTGTCAGGCCATCTGGCAGGTGTGCATGCTGTCAGAACCAGGGATTCTGCCGTGGGTCTCACGGCATAATTTGTTCTGTAAGGAAACACATTGCCCCTTCCATTGTTATGTACAGCAAAACAGTCTCAGCCAGGTGACGTCAGAGTGCAAGCTGGCCAATGACCCGCAGGCTCGGGGCGTGTACATCTCGTGACTGCCATCATTTTCTGGACACCCAGGAAGCAGGAGCTGGCACGCATGGACACGGACTTCTGGTCCATGATCTCACTCAGGTCCCCCCATGATGACTTCGTCAGGAGAGCTTTGTCTACTTCATTAGGGACAGGGGAGGTCTGGGAGAGGGAGGGATTCGTGTGCTCCAATAACACGAGTGATGGAATGAGTGAATGACACAGCAGAGACACTAAACTCATAGCAGCCTCCTTCCTTCTACCTGACACCACAAAGGAGGGGGATGAGGGGAGAGGAAGGTCAGGCAGAGGAAGAGGATGCAAGGGGGCCCCTGAGCCTAGTCACCTGGCCTCTCCCTCAAACCCCAGGAAGGTGTGTATGTGTAACTGTGTATACGTGAGCGTGTACATGTGCATGCATGTGAATGTGCATCTTTATACATGCTAGTTTATATATGTGTTTGTTTACATGTGCATATGTGTAGGCAGATGTGTGCATGAGCGTGTGAGTCTCTACTTTTGTGTGTGTGTATGTGTGTGTGTGTGTGTAAAGATGTCAGTTCAGGGATCTGGAGTCCTTGGAAAAGCAATCCTTCCATCAGCTCAAAGGAACTCACAGAAAAACCTTTGAAAATGCTGATACCCAGGCTACATAACGTGAGACAGCCCTAGAAACTGTAGCAATGCTTTCTGCAGACTTGGTATTCTTTAAAGTCTCCCAGGAGTGTCCAGTGTGCAGCAAAGTTCAAGTACTATTGTGCCCAGAAAGTTCTCTCTCTGTAGGCTGACTAGCGGGGCAGCTGATAAACCTGTCCCACGTAGACCAAGGGAGGTCAGAGTGTGTGATGACCATGCGTTCCCCACCAGCAGAGGTCAGACTCCTCTTCGGGTACCATAAGCCTTTCTCCCTTCATGGGGGACTGGTTTTGGGCGAGGGGAAAGAGCCAGCTCTCCTGTGACCTCACTTGAAAGTTCAGGTGAGACATGGACAGCCTTCTTAGAGCTAAAAGGCTTGCGGCAGCAAAGCCACCATGCTCCTTCACCGGGACCGGCAAGCCCTCATCGTCTGTGGCTGGGGTAAGAACGAGGCTTGGGTCCCGTAGCCTCAACCTTCACGTTGTCCCGGGTTAGCGGGCTGATGCGATGGGTGGATAGAGGCACTCGCGTGCCAGGTCCCCCGACCTGCACTGGATTCCTACTGTATCTAAGCGTGTGGCAGCCTAACTTCCCACAGAGGCTCTCCCCCTTCATCACTATGTCCTTACTAAGGACAGTGAGGGTTAAGAGGTCTGGGAGTTTGTCTGACATCCCAGGAGTACTTAAGCAGTAGCAATGGAATTCCATCTTTGGCTGTCTAGTCCCAAGCACCGTGCTGTTTTCCAACCCCTCCTTTAGCAATGCAAGGTTGGGTGGTCCTGGAAGAAGACCTTCCCCTTACCGAGGATGACGGAGGACAGGGCTGAGATGATTTTTCAGACGTAAGCAAAAGCCACAGTTGCCACCCTCCTGTTTTCCCCTCCGTGCACCAGGTGGATCTACTGAAGACACTCAGCTGTGTGGCCCAAGCTGGAGGCAGAACAGGGACTGAAAGCCCAAGCCCATCTGCCTGGAAACACCACGTTCCCTTCGCCAGACCTTTTTGCCCTGGTGCCTCTTCTAGTTGCATCGGGGTGGTGTTTGGGCCTAAATAGCGGAACCTTCTGAAGCAGAGGGCACTGTGCCCACTGCCGTGTTTAAGTTGGCCTAGACACAACTTTAAACGTTTCTTTGAAGGTAGCTCTAGTGTTTACCAATCACACACGAGCCTAGATTCCTCCTGACAGCTGGGCAGTCCAGGCAAGACTAGACTCACTGTCCTGCTTGACCTCAGTGGCCCGGGAAGGTGACCACTGACAGCCCGAACTGGCGCTTACCGGCATGCCGACGTCTCTTCTGAGCTCCCCGGGACCTGTGTGGCAGCATTCTGATTGCTTGTTTTGCATTTGCCTTGCCTTAGCCTAATTCTCCACAAATCTCCAGACAGGTTTAGCCCAGCCTGGGGGCCACCGTGAGCTAAGCTGGCCGTGTGCTGACTTGATACCTGTCTGAGAGACTCTCTTTTCTCACCGCCTCTCTGCACTTTCAGGCCCTGCCGTGCTTCTTGTTTTGGGGAACTCATGGATCCTGACATTATGTCACGTTTCTGGGGAAATGCTTAGGGGTACACCAGTGAATTGTGTATATGTGTGCACATGTTTACGTGTGAAATGTGTGTGTGTGTGTGCAGGCATGGGCATGTGTGTGTACACAGTGCAACTGATGTGTGTCTGTGTGACTGCTTGTGGTGAGGCTCACGGGTAAGGATGCACCTGGATGAAAGAGTTAAGTGTTGGAGTCGGAAAGGTCAGAGCTCCGGGGGGGGGGGTCTCCTTTACTCAATTAACAGTGGGCTGGGACATTTTGAGTCCTTGCAATTCCTGCTTAAGTCTATCTATTTCAATGTCTGCAACTCCACATGGCCAGGGACGTCACAGGAAATGCAAAAATGTATTGAATCCTTCCTTAGGTCAGGGTGGTTTTTTTTTTGCCAAGCAAATGGACGGGAACCGCATCAAGGTTCCTGGTGGCAGGGAGCCGAGGGACTGTAGCATTGGGGGTGAGTCCTGCAATTGGAAGCTGTGAGGGTGGGGTGGGCATGGCGTGGTAACGGGGGAAGACAACCTCTGGGTCCATGAGACAATGTCCATAAGGGGGCAAGGCCTGGCGTGCAAGATCCCATTATGGGTTTGGAGATTAGTATAATCACCTTCCAAATGACCTCAAAGACAGCTGTTAGCCAGGAGAGGAAATATTGGCCGCACGTGTGGTCTCATGGGTGATCCCAGCACAGGGAAGCTGCCCAGGTCTCCCTGGGTGTTGGGAAAAGGCAGATGACTATTTCTGATGTCAGTCTTGAGCGCCAGCAAGCAGACATCACCTGTGACTCAAGGGTTTATTTAACCAGGGCCCGGCTGATATTCAGGAAACACAGTTTCAATCAGTGCACTGGGTAATTACGTGTAGGTTATGATGCCTGTCTTCTTTGAGCATGTTTCGTGGCATTAATAACACATTCCAGCAGGAGGAGATGAACAGGAGAGATGGGGGAAGCAGGAGTATGTACTTGGAAAGCCAAAGATACAAATGTAAACGAATTAAGAAACAGGACAAGACAAGAAAGAAAGTTGCCGCAGAGGAGCCAGGGGCGCAGACAGCGTTTACCGACTTGGGTTGTGTGCAGTCTTCTCAACAGTCCTCCCAGGAATCTGAGGTGTACGGCACAGAAGAGGTACCCTACTGTATATGAACAGATAGTGGGCTAAAGTTATGGAGGGCTCTTGATCCAGTACTAATGGGAGAAGAGTTCCCGTGTCTATGAGATGGTGAGGGACGTTTCAGGTGTGTTGGGCTGCTGCACATCATCCTGCTGGCTCGCAGTGTCATTTGGCAAGCGGTGCTCAGAGACTTCAGACTAAGGACACAGGCATGAGAGAGAAGCACGAAGCCTAGAAACATGGTCTCCAGGAGCAGTGCCGAGGACAGGGGACATGGGATGGAGCACATGAAGAATAAACAACAGCCTTCCTCCAAACACAAGGATGCTAGGCACACCAAAATCATCGAAGAAAAGCAACGGCAGTTAGAAACCCCAGCAAGAGCAGAAGGCACTACAGAAAGGGAGAATTCAAACGTGTATACTACTTAGGTTCCAGCGAACATAGTCAGAACATAAAAAAGTCATGATTATACAGATAAAAATCAGAACAAGGACATTTGGAAGATGACAAAGGTATCTGACAGCGTCGGGGAGCTAAGCCCTCAACTACCATGTAGGGAAATTAATAAATGATCCAAAATTAGTGTAGCAAACCAATCGAGATATAGTAGAAGACATTGCTGTGTAGTGATAACTAGAAAAATAGAATTAAAAGTAATGGTGGTCGCTGGAAAAGCATGGATAGCAGGAAACGTTGACTGCCATTTTCATTATTTCCTGGTCACTGGCTTTTCCTATGCATATTATTAAACATTTTAATTTAAAGGGTAATCAAAATATCTGAACTACGGCAGTGATTCAGTGCCGTCTAAAAGGCTGTTGGGCATCTATTGAAGAGTTGTATCTACTGAGAGAACTAAATCAGGGTTGGATATTTCTTGGCAGAATTTCTTCGCTCAGGTAAAATTGTGTCTAATAGGAAGAGAGCGAGACACAATGAGACCTTCGGGACAAGAGTCATGCAGTTATTGCTCTCTCCCCAGGATGACCCATCCTGTGGCTTCTAACTGGATTGGGCTGGCGTATGCTTCCTACCAAGCTAAGCCTGGTTAGGTGAAGGACTGTGGGTGTCCTTGGGCTGGAGTGGGGACAGTGGGAGGATACGGAGGGTCTCACTTACGTGCACACACTCCTATTGCGTACCTCGGCCGGTCCCCACTGTAGTCGCAGTAGAGACCCCGGTGTGGGTCACAGACAGCAGCCTCTGTACAGTTGTCCCCGAGCTGCTGGGCACAGATCTTACAGCACTCACAGCCATCGGTGATAAGGCTCACGCCCAGTGGGCAGTGAGGTGGGGACTGCGGACACTCACACGGCCACTTGCAGAACTCAGGGCGTGCAGTTGCGTCCTCCAGCGGCACTGGAGTGAAAGTCATGGCTGTGGGGGCTGGAGAGACGACCTGTGGAGGAAGGGGAGACATGAAAATGGGTTGTTGAGTCCAGGGATTCCAAATGGCTGCAATTGCCTTTCCATGTTCATTGAGTTTAGAATGATTTCACAATTAACTTCCATACGATCAATAGACAAACATCTGTTTCTTTCAATAAAGCCAGTAAGATTAAGGAGCTCAAAGTTCAGAGAAGCCAAAACAATTCCCAGCCTGTGAGGTTCTGGCACCTGGCATTCACCCTAGCCTGTCTTGGCTTCCTTCTTCCCTCGGTGCCTCAATAGCCCCAGCGGTATGCGTGGCTACATTGAGTTCCAGAAGGGGGAGCCGGGATGTGGGTAGCTGATAAGTTCTGTTGCTCACAACCCACAGCTACTGCTGCCTTCTGCAGCTCCAAGCTCTTCCTCTGATGAGTCTTCTGTGCCTGGTAGAGTCTGATACAGTGTAGTGTATGTGCATGCGTGTTGACATGTGTGTGTGTGCATGAATGCATGGATGTGTGTATGCCATTGCATGTATGTGCATCTGTGGTGGTGGTGGTGGTGGTGGTGGTGGTGTGTGTGTGTGTGTGTGTGTGTGTGTGTGTGTGTGTAGGCCAGATGACATTCTCAGCTCTTTGCCTAAGGTGTTGCACACCTTGTTTTTTGAGACAGGGTCTCTCACTGGCCTGGGACTTGCTGCGTTCAAGCACAAGATCTTCAAGATGCTTGCATGTCTGTAATCCCGTCTCCTGCCCACCCAGGCCCCATCTGGGTTCCTTGCCCTGCACCAGAGGGGACTGAGACACCTGCACCCTGTGTGTGTGGTTTTTTTTTTTTTTGGCCTGTTTCAGCCATTCTACAGATGTTCGCATGTAGCCTTCTTTATGTTTTAGACACTTGAAGATAACACTTAGTTGGTCCTGTACTTGAAGCTCATGCAACACATGAAGAGACAAGCATTAAGAGTTACGGATCATAGAATAAGACTGTGGTTGCTGTGGAAAGTGGGAAGAAGCTCTCTGCAGCTTGGGGCAGGAATAGCTCTGGCTAAGAGGACCAGAGATGAGCTGCTGCGTTAGTCTGACCGGCAGAATCTGGACCTGAAATGCCACAAGTGCACAGGTACGGAGAGAAAGGAGGACTCTGAGGGCCAGCAAGGCAGCGGTGGTGGGCCTGTGTCACCTGTAGCCTCGACTTAAGGCCCGGCCACACCACGTCCAGGTTCAGCTTAGGGTCCAGCCTAGAGCATCCTTTCCCCGCCTCAAGGCATCTTCCGTGCCCTTCCCTGTGGTTGCTCTCTATGGCCCGCTGGGACACTCTGAACCCTCAGTCGCTAGATGCTTGCAAAGTGCGTGGAGCGACCGACTGCCTTGTTGGGGACAGACACAGTGGCTTCTCCGTGAGGTCTTTGTTTCTCTGCCTGAATGCAACATGACAGGCATAGCAGGCTCTTCAGGTGTTGAGTGGGGGCGGGGGTGGAGCTCTGGGTGAATGTGCTGTGGGGCCACCCGATACTCATGACGTCATGCTTGGAATGAGTTTCTCCTCTCAGCATCAAGTTTGGGAGTCCGAGAGGGTTAGATAGGGATGTTTCCGGACGGCTGTGTGCACATACCCCCAGCTTCCTGGAAGCCTGTGGTACAAGAACGCCTCTTTGAGAGCCACTATGACGTCGAAGGTCTAGTGCGCGTAGAGGCACCGGGCGCAGGAGAGACACCCAGAGCGCATTTCTCGACGCCTGTCCAGCTCATGGTACATCCGGTGTGCAGACTGTATGGGGTCACCATCAGCCCCCTCCGTTCATCTCGCGTAAGCAATCCCGGAAGGCAGGCGCTTCTTTCTAGGTACCTGCCTGGAGCGTCCCACTCCCCACACCCCGGCCTGGCATCTGGGTGGGGAAGGTAGGAAGGCCTTCCCAGGCTTATGGGATGCACTGGGCAGTGTCTGGCCAGGCAAAACTTACTTTCAACCAAGTCTTGGCTGTTGGCGCCACCTAGTGGCAGCAATACTTCCAGTTACCCCCCCCCCAAGCAAGAAGCCCAAGGCCCAACCCTCTGCACCCCAGGATTATCTGGGGTGTGGGACTGTAGACCAGCCGTTAGCTCATACCTCCGCTGAACTACACTCTGCTGCACACAGGGACACACAGATGATTGGCTGGGGACTTCTGCCTTGCGGAGAGACAGTTCAGACAGAAATGCAGACTGGCCCTTTGGCTAATAATTCTTACTGAACACCTACTATGTGCTGGACCCTGTGACGGGCACCACCTACTGTGTGTTGGGCCCTGTGATGGGCTTGGAGGAAGCAGCATTGCATAGAGTCCCCTCACCAACACATGCCCAGCGGTGATGTGTGCATGAGAATTGCAACAAGGCGATCAATGTTGCAGTGACATTATCCACTCGAATCATTTCATTTGCTGACTCAGCACAGCTCTAGCTTTTACTTTGTGCTGGGTGCCGGGCCGTGTGTGGAGGTAGAAGTGAACAGGAACGCCTTACTTCAGGAATGTGTGTGTCCGTGTCTATATGTCTGTCTGTGTCCGTATCTGTGTGTATCCCATGTGCGTGCAGATGCCCATGGAGACCGGAAGAGGGTATCAGCTCCCCTGGAGCGAGAGTCACAGGGAATTGTGAGCCAGTGGACATGGATTCTGGGAACCAAACTCTGGGTCTCTGGAAGAGGAGCAAGTGGTCATAACTGCAGAGCCAGCACCCCCCCCGACACACACACTTTTAAGCAACGAACTCATCTGCCCTTACAGTAAGCCAACCAGGAGGATTGGTCTACAGGGGCCTTTGTCCTGTAGAATAAACCAGCAAGGCCACCACCATCCCGTGGAGGCGACAGGTGTCAGGTAAGCCCAACGGCTTGCACAGCTCAGCCTCAAATGGTCTGGGAGCAGGCCCTGTGTGCCGTGTGGGCACATGGAGAATTTCCTGGTGGCCCAAAGGTAGGAACAGCCATTTGTCCTCTTTAAGGCCCTCCAGAGGCACCCTCCTTTTGGGGGACACTGCCTGGATCCTCTCCCTGAGCTTGTGTTTTTCCTGGGATCCTGTCCCTGCTTTTCTGAGCGTGATCCCTGCCCTCTTCCCAGAGAGCCCTGGCTGTCATCCTCTCGAACACTGCAGGGTCAATACGCCTATCCTGAAAGTAGGCAGACGCGTCTGTGCAGACACAACGCCCCGGGGCCCCGGGCTACTCTTAAGGGAGAAAGAGGACAAGAAACCAGCAAGTAAGGAGAATTCTGGCTACGAAGGACAGACAGGAAAAACCAATAAAAATACAAAGGCTTGGCCTTTCCAAATTGAAGTTGCTCACATAAAACTCTTTTTTTTTTACAATGTGCTTCTGGCACCAGGCCCTGCAGATGCAGGACAAAGAGAAAGTGGCCTTGTCCAAGAGGCCTCGGGGACAGAGTGCACAGCACATGCTCAGTCATAGCTGGCCTACCCTGCTCCACGGCTGCAGGCTACCATGCTCGCCTCTCTGAGAGCCTCTCCGCTCCCTACTCAGGGTTCTTTAGCAGAAGCAAAGCCCGACGGAACTTCATGGACTTCCTGTCCACCAGAAGAGTCACCTTGATAACAGAGTACACTGATGACCAATCACTGTCCCCAGAGACCCAAACTTGGGCAGCTAGGGAGAAGAATGGACAGCAAGGCTGTTCTGGCTGGTTCTGAATGCAGCCACCACCCACCCAGATGCACTGATCCCAAACTGAACTCTCTGGGTTCTTCTAGACAGGCAAGCCTAGAGCCTGAGTTGGCTCATACCCTTGTGATTCCTAAGAGGGTATGAACAATGGTTTGAGAACAATGGGTGGGAGCTAGGGAGAGGGCAGAGCCTCGGGCCAGCTTCCTGCTTTACCACTGGTTCTTCGAAGCCTATACTTCACATACAGCATAAAGTGCCTCAAAGAGTCCTACACAGACAGAGCCACCAGACATAGCTGTGGGACAGCCATCTTTCTTTCACCCTCCAGGGCAAAAAACTGTTAAGTGATGGATAGAAATTATCATAGCCCTTGAGAGCTTGCTAGAGTGCCTGAAAGTAGCTTAGTGGCCATGTCCCTAAGAGTCCCACACTTTAGGATAAAAGCAGTGGGTAGGCAGGGAAGTCTCTGAACTTACAGGAATGCCTAAGCTGATTGGCGTTGAGAAGGCGTGTCCGGCACTGTGGGAAAAGCCTGCACACGCATTAGCGATACAGCTCAGAAGTGACTAAGGGTCGGGCAGCATGGTCCACCCCTCCAGACCGAGTCAGAAACCAAGTCAATCTTCTGGGCTTCACACAATGGGATTACTCCATTTTCATGAAGGTGTCCAACAGGGACATGGGATCAGACAATGGGGCCCTCTCTGGGCGGAAAGGACCAGACAGGGGGCCCAGTGCCGCCTGTCTCTCGTCTCTTAGGACATGAGTGGTCCAGGGTTGGGAGGATACAGGGAAGTGAGGGGACAGCCTCCCATCCTCACCACTGCCAGGGCTGGGCACTGGGGACTGCCATCCATCTGAACTCTCCCCTCGTTTGTAAAAGGGTGGAAGCGGCAGGGGCCTTCATCAGTCCTTGGGAAGTGCTATTCCCATCTCCCGTGGAAGAAACGGAGGCTCAGACAGCCCAAGGAACTTCCAGTGGAAGAAACAGAGGCTCAGACAGCCCAAGGAACTTCCAGTGGAAGAAACAGAGGCTCAGACAGCCCAAGGAACTTCCAGTGGAAGAAACAGAGGCTCAGACAACCCAAGGAACTTATTTGAGTTTTCGCTGCCCTGTGAGTCGTGTCCGACCCTGGTGCCCCCAAGAGTATGCATTTGTCATTGCTAGCTGACCCTTGGCGGGGCATCTAGGCACAGCATTCCGAAGACTTCAGGCAGGCTCTGTACCCTCCTGCTATTCTCTGAGCATTGCCTGAGTGCGCCCTGGAACGTGTGGGCACTCAAGGCCTTTCCCCTTGCTGGATGAATGGATGTGTGGTTTGTCATTGCACCACATCCTCATCCATCCATTCATTCATTCATTCATTCATT